GTAACGCTGACTTGATTTTGATTTTCAGTATGAATACAAACTGTGAAAGCATGGCCTATCGATCCTTTAGATCTTTCGAATTTGAAGCTAGAGGTGTCAGAAAAGTTACCACAGGGATAACTGGCTTGTGGCAGCCAAGCGTTCATAGCGACGTTGCTTTTTGATTCTTCGATGTCGGCTCTTCCTATCATTGTGTCGCAGAAGTCACCAAGTGTAGGATTGTTCACCCACTAACAGGGAACGTGAGCTGGGTTTAGACCGTCGTGAGACAGGTTAGTTTTACCCTACTGATGAACGGTTGTCGCGACAGTAATCTAACTTAGTACGAGAGGAACCGTTGGTTCAGATATTTGGTCATTGCGGTTAGCTGAACAGCTAGTGCCGCGAAGCTACCATCTGTAGGATTATGACTGAACGCCTCTAAGTCAGAATCCATGCTGGAAAGCGACGATATTCACCTCTCCCGATGTTACACGCATCACGATAGGCTTCGGCCGAGCATCATACTCCATCGCAATTTCGAATGTTGGGAGGGATAAATCCTTTGTAGACGACTTAAATATGGAACGGGGTATTGTAAGCATGAGAGTAGGCTTTGTCCTACGATCTGCTGAGATTCAGCCTCTTGTTCCGGCGATTTGTTAATGTGAAAGCAGACAGCGAGCTTCTGTGCGCCCTCTTCCGAGAGTCGAGCTGCACGTCGATCCATCTCTTTCGCGCTCCCCCCCCAATAAACCCAAACACAAAACCAATACAGCTCCAATTGGAGCGAACCAACCCAACCCAAAAAAATCAAAATCCGTGTCTTTTTGTGCGGGTTTCCCTTCTGCGTCTCCCGACGCAACACTCTACTCCAGAAGACCTTTTTAAACCAAGCCGCTTTCGTGCGGGTTTCATCTTCATAGTGATCGACTACTCGGACGACTACTCATCGACTCCCACCACTTCTCTGAAAACGCCCAAGTCCAAATCGTGCGGGTTTCTCGGCGACCATTGCCAAGTACCCTGCACCGGACACTTTGACGCCCGAATACGCCCGTTTCCTCGCGCCGTAAAACGCCGCTCGCCGTCCGCCGCGCCTCCCCCCGCCCCCGCCGGGACTCCCTCTGCTCGACCGACGCACAAACCCGCGCGCGCGCGCGCGCGCGCCCGTCGTCCGCGAATGCGGCCTGTTCTCCGCGACGCCACTCAAAAATACATTAGATCCCGTCGAGCGCGCGGCGGAGCTCGCGAGCGAGGGACGGCGTCGCGGCCGCGGCGCCGTAGCCCGGGAGCGCGTCCTCGAGGGCGGCGGCGTCGCCGCGCGGGAGCGGGAGCGGCTCCGAGTCGCCGCCCGCGTCCTGGAAGAGCGGGTTGTAGCTCCGCTGGAGGAACTCGAGGCAGGACCGCTTGAGGCCGGCGCAGCCCCGATCGTGGGCAAAAGCCAAGAGGTGCGCGACGTTCGACGCGTCGAGGTGCTCCGCGAGACGCCGCTCGGCCAAACTCGCGAGGCTCGCGACCGGCCGCCGCTCGGCGCCCTCCGGCGCGTCGAGGAGCCGCAGCACGTAGCAGTCGTCGAAGTACGCCTCGCCGAAGACGCCGCCGCCGAAGAGCACGGCGACCCGCTCGCCCGAGACCGACGCCAGCGCCGTCAGCGACGCGCAGTTGCGCGCCGCGGGCCGCTCGAGCGAGCCCCGGTCGCACGCGAGCCACGCGGCGCGGCCCGGCGGCGCGCGGCGGCCGGGCGGCGCGTCCGGGAGCGCCGTCGCCGCCGCGTCGAAGACGAGGACGTCGTCCAGATTCCGCGGCCCCGCGTCGAGCTCGCCGTCGAGCTCGCCCGCGACCGTGCCGCCGAAGACGACGACGAAGCGGTCGTCGAGGCAGGCCGCGCCGCAGCCGAAGCGCGGCGTCCAGGCCGTGCCCTCGAAGCCCCCCTCGAGCATCGTCCACCGCTCGCGCCAGCCGCCGCCGCCGCCGCGGTCGACGCGGAGCGCGTGGACGCCGCCCGCGAGGCCGAGCGCCGCGGACACGCCGCCGACGACGAACGCCGCGCCGCGCGCCGCCGCGCAGGCGGCGAGCGCGACGCCCCGGAACGCGCGCCACTGCATGTCGCCGAGCGCGCCCGGGGTCGACGCCAGGCCCCGGACGCCGCGGCTCGCGTCCGGCGCGCCCGACGCGAGCCGCGACCACGTCCGCGTCGCGAGGTCGAGCACGTGGGGCGTGCTCTGCTCGAGGATCACGGCGCAGACGTCGTCGGGCGACACGCCGTCCGCGCCCCCGACCCGCCACGTGTAGCCCCCGTAGATCACCATCGCGTCGTCCACGGCGTACGCGACGTGCGCGCGCCGCGGCCCGGGCGCCTCGCCGGAGGCCGGCGTCGCGTCGAGGGAGAGCGAATGAGCGCCGACGTCGTAGATCCGGAGCTTCGAGGCGTCGGCGACGAACACGTCGTCGCCGTCTCCGCCCACGGTCGCGTCGTACGAGGCCACGCCGCCGAAGACGACGAGCTGTTCGCGCCGCGCGTCGTAGACGGACGTGTGGCCGCGGCGCGCGCACGAATCGTCCATCTCCAGCTCCCTCCAGCGCGCGGTTTCTTCGTCGAGCAACCAGGCATCACCGCAGTGCGTGAACTTTCCGCCGGGCGTCGCGACGCCGCCGCCGTAGATGAGTAGGCCGCCGGGGACCGCCGTGGCGCTATGGCTGCAGCGCGGCGACGGACGCGGCGTGTGCGCGGGCAGCTGGGCCCATGTGTAGCGTAGGCGTTTCGCCGACACGGCCGCTTCCGCATCGCGATCCGGTTCCAAGAGGAGATCGTTTGTATCGACCCCGTCCATGCTTGCTTGATGCGTCTCTAAACGTAGGGGGGGCGGGAGGTACCGCGGGAGGACAGGAGGCTCAGAGGGGTCTCACAAGGCGCCGGAAGCACTAGCGGCCGGCGCCATGCCGCATCTGAGGGATGCAACGACGGCTTCTCAACTTCATGATGCCGCGCTTAAACGGCACTGATCTCTCGAACGATGATGAGGACGGACAAGGCGCGCGCCGTGCAGTCGAGCCCGCGGCTCGAGGACCCCGGCGACGACGGGAAGTCCGACGACGGCGACGGCGGCGACGAGAGCGACGAGGCGGAGACGCCGCGCGCGGACGCGCCGCCGCCGCGGTCGCCGTCCAAGGCGCTGGGCGCGCGGGGCCGCACGGCGAGCGAGCTCGTGGCGGGTCTGGAGGAGGAGGAGATGCTCGCGCTGCTCGGCGAGCGCATCGAGTTGGGCAAGGACGCCGCGGAGCACCTCGCCGGCGGCGGCGCCGCGCCGCCGACGCCGTCGCCGCGGCTGTCGGCCAACGGCCGCAAGGGCCAGCTCCTCGAGCGCATGGAGGACCTGCTCCAGGAGACGGCCATGTACGCCGTCGGCGACGACCAGAAGGCGGAGAAGTGGAAGCGGCCGAGCCTCGCGGCCGCGCACGACGCGCGGCGCGCGGCGCTGTGGCGCGACGGCGGCGAGCACCTGGCGCCGAGCGGCGTCCCGCGACGACCTTTCGAGAGCTTTTTTGACCGGGGAAACGGAGGAACATCGTCGCCGATGGTAGGCGACGAGCCTGCGGAGCATGGGCGAGATGGGCGTGGGCATGGAGCTCTACTTCTTCATGACGCGGCAGCTCGCGATGCTCTTCTCCGTGCTGACGCTCGTGCACCTCCCGGCGCTCGCGTGGCACGCGCGGCTGCTGCCCTGCCGGTCCGGCGGCGCCGAGAGCGAGGCCTGCGAGTGCGCCGCGAGCGTGGCGAACATCCTCCTGCGCATGGCGCTGAGCGACGGCTGCCCCGAGGGCATGCGGGACGTCGCGGTCGCCGTCGGCGGGCTCTCGGTGAACCTGAAGCCGTCGCCCAAGGCCCACGCGGCCGTCATCTGCGCGACGCAGCTCCTGACGGCGTGCCTCGTCCACGGCTTCACGCGGCGCATCCGGGGGCGCATGAGCAAGCGCCTCCAGGAGCTCCAGCTGCAGCACGCGACGGCGAGCCAGTACAGCGTCCTCGTCACGGGCCTCCCGGGCGACACGGAGGAGCAGGAGGTGCTGCGCCACTTCCACCGGCGCTACGACTTAAGGCGGCCCCAGGTCGCCTACCCGATCTACGGGCTGAACGTGCGCGGCGCGTGCCTGCTCTCCGCGGCGCTCACGTCGTCGGCGGTCTTCGTTGTCTGCCTCGCGCTCGCTGTCTGGCTCGACACGCCGCTGCGCCACGAGGGGGGCAAGCTCTGGCTCGCGGCGCTGGGCGCCGCGTTCGGCGCCGCGGCGCTGGCGGGCTGCGCGACCTACTCCGCGTCCTACGCGCGGCGCCTCGGGCGGCCCGTGTCCGTGCCGCCGCTCGCCGAGGAGCACGGCGCGATGGTGCGCCGCGCGCGCCAGGGCCGCCGCACGTGCGGCGGGCGCCGGGGCCCGGAGAAGATCTCGCCGTCCATGGCCTGGACCGTGCGCGTGCCGGACCCGCGGCCCGTGCGCGAGGAGGACCACCGGAGCGACCGCGAGCGGCGGAGGCCGAAGCGGCACAGCGGCGACGGCTCCTACGGCGCGGCGTCGGCGCCCGCGGCGGAGGTGACCTACCTGGGCAAGTGGGTCGCGGACGTGAGTCTGGTGCGGTCCAACGGCGAGCTCATCCGCCAGTACATGGCCATCCGGAATCTGTGGAGCCGCGTGCAGATCTCGCGCGCGTCCGTGCGCCGCTGGTCCGAGGTCCACGGGCCCCACCCGCACACGAACCGCTGCCGCAAGGCGCTGAACCAGCTCGAGGTCCTCGTCGAGAAGATGAAGGAGGCGCAGCGCGAGCTGAGCCGGTCCGTGGACCGCAAGGGCATCGACGAGGTCACGGGCGCGTTCGTGACGTTCGAGCACGAGTGGTCCGCGTTCCGCTGCGCGCAGGACTACGCGCACAGCCGCTACGCGTTCCTGCGCCACTCCTTCCAGCCCCTGAACCTGCGGCTCCACCGCCGCGCGCACTTCGCCGCGCGCCAGAAGGCGCGGCGCCGCGAGCAGGACCGCCAGGGCCCGCTCCGGAGCCTCCGGAGCCGCGGCGGCGCGTCGCCGGGCCGGCCGCCGTCGCCGGGCGACGACGTCGAGGCCGAGGGCGAGGCCGCGCCGGGGTCCGCGTCCATGCGGGCCGTGCCGCTGTCGTGCCGGCCCGCGGCCGCGCCCGACGACGTGCTCTGGGAGAACCTCGGCGTGCCGAGTTACGTCAAGAACCTGCGGCGCGCGGGCACGCTCTTCCTGTCCGCGGTCATGCTCGCGGGCACGTCGAGCCTCGTGCGCTACAAGATTCGCGTCATGGCCGAGGTCGTCCGGCCCGAGACGTCGACGTGCCGCGAGGCCATCGCCGCGCATTTAGGCCGCTACTACGACAACGAGACGTGCGCGCAGGTCGACCGGCTCTACACGAACCGGAGCTTCCAGTGCCCCGGGCCCCGCGAGGACTTCCTGGGGCACCGGGACGTCGACTACGGCGTCGCGGCGCCGCGGGGGCGCGCGTGCCGCGGCGGGTCCTGCGTCGCGCCGCGGAGCGCGTTGGCCGTGCCCGGGTCGAACGCGACGGTCGACCGGTCGCGGTTCTGGGCGGCGCCCGCGCCGGCGGCCTACGTGGCGCCGGGGTCGCGGAATTTGACGCTCTGCGACTCGCCCTGCCAGGACCGCGACGCCCAGGGCCGCGACCGCGCGGACTGCGACGCGCTCGCGTGCGGCGTCGCCGCGTGGCGCGACGCCGCGCACGGCGGCGAGGTCTGCAGCGACCGCGACGCGCGGCGGACGCGCTACTCGCGCAACGATCTCGTGGAGTGCTACTGCGACCGCGAGGTCCGCTGCAAGGAGCAGCGCCTGCTCCACTTCGAGCGGCTGATGCTGCGGTACGCGTGGACGCACGCGGCGCGGAAGTTCCTGGGCCGGTCGAAGCGCCTGTTCCACGTCGTCTGCCGGGAGCACATGGCCACGCACCTGGGCATCAAGTGGATCGACCGCGCGCTCGTGCTCGTCGTCGTCGCGGTGAACTCGCTCTTCCAGGTGCTCTTCGCGGCGTTCGCCAAGGTCGAGCGCCACGACTCGATCTCGACGCAGCTCGTGAACACGGCGTGGAAGACGTTCTTCCTCATCTTCCTCAACACGGCGTTCCTCGTGCCCGTCTTCAACATGAAGTGCGAGCCGACGTGGCGCGGCGACCTGGGGCTGACGGACTTTTTCTGCGAGCACGTCTTCATCGGCGAGTACGTCGGCTTCACCAAATCGTGGTACGAGAACGTGGGGCGCACGGTCGTCCTGTCCGTGGCGCTGAACATGGTCGTCTCCGTGCTGAGCCGCTTCGGCACCGTGTCGCTCCTGGACCCCCTGGTGGCCTGGTGCTGGCGCGACGGCTGCGTGACGCAGACGCAGCTCAACGAGCTCTTCCAGCCGCGGCGCTTCGACATCGAGTACCGGTACAGCTTCGCGCTCACCTACGTGCTCTGCGCTCTAGTCTACTGCAGCGGGCTGCCCGTGCTCGTGCCCCTGACGGCGGCCTACTTCTGGGCGTCCTACGTCGCGGACAGGTACCTGGCTGTGTGGAAATCAACCACCGGTTTGGGGGGTCCCCACCAAACTTCAGAACTCTCTATCTCAATCAAATCGACGTCGATTCTGCTGATTTTTAGACGAATCGATTGCTCTCGTCGAGTTCTCGAAGCACAGCGAAAGAGTCTGGGCCAAATCGTTCGATTACGCGCACATTGAAGTCGGGTTGAAGATTTGATTTCCACACAGGTACCTCGTGATGCGGCTCTACGCGAAGCCGCCGAGCTACGACCACAAGCTCCCGAAGCTGCTGCTGAAGGTCTTACCGTTTGCGTCCGTGGCCCACCTCGTCATGGCCATGCTCATGCTCTCGAATTCGAACCTCGTGCGGGCGGGGAGCCTGCGGTCGAGCGGCGTCGCGACGCGCGCGGCGCCGCGGACGTTCCTGCTGGTGACGCGCGCGCTCTTCGGCCGCGCGTGCAGCCGGCGCCTCGCGAACACGGCCGTCGCGCCGCTCCTCGTCGCCGTCGCCTACCTCGTGGTGCGCGCGGCCCTGCGGCGCGTCGTGCTGGTCTACAACCTCGAGCTCCTGCCCGTGCTGCCGACGGCCGTCGCCGCGTGCCGGCGGCTCGCGGCCGGTGCCGCGCGCGCGTGCCGCCGCGGGGGTGGCGGCGGCAAGGTCGTGCCCGCGCGGCTCGGCGCCGCCGTCGCGCCGGGCGACGCGCCCCCGAACACGGCGGCCTGGCGCCGCACGCGGCGCTGCATGGCGAAGGCCGCGCTGACGACGCGGCCGGGCTTCACGGAGCCGTTCCGGTGCGTCGCGCCCGAGGGCGTGTCCCACCTGACGCACGGCAAGCTCGAGCGCCTCGTGCTGAGCGGCCTCGACGGCGGGCTCAAGGTCGTCCACAACTCGCTCGTCGCCGTCGCGGACGCGGGCGACCGCGCCGCCGAGCGGCGGCGGTCGACGGTGAGCGGCGTCGTCGCCGCGATGCGGCGTTTAGGCGCGCGCGACGCCAAGACCGTGCCCCTCGACGAGGCGGGCGGCGGGCCAAACGCGCCCGACGGGGCGGCGCCGGAGGGGCAGCACTCGCTCCGGGACAAGGTCCGCGAGTCCATGCGGCGGCGGCGCGCGGCCGCGGCCGCGGCCGCGGCGCCGCCGGCCCGGTCGCCCAAGCCGCGGAAGTCGCCCCTGCGGCGCGCGTCCGAGAGCCTGAAGCTGACGCCCGTCGACGGCGCGCGGTCCGTGCTCTTCGGCGCGAAGCGGTGGACGGAGCAGCACAGCAAGCAGGCGATCCTCGAGGGCTGGCGGCTCCTCGACGCGGCCGCGGCGACGCCGGGCCTCGTGGAGCTCCAGCGCGTCCACAGCGCGCGCCGCGGGCTCAAGTCCGACGTGCTCATGCGCACCTGGGAGATCATCGTCGAGGAGAAGCGCCTCGCGAGCTACGACATCATGGCGAACCCGCGCTACCGCCTCGCGCTCGAGTTCCTCGAGTCCGTGGGCACGTTCCGGCCGAAGCGCGAGCTCGTCAAGGAGATCGGCGTCTTCCGCGAGCAGGTCGTCCAGCTCAAGGACCGCTGCAACCGCGAGAACCTGGAGCGGCGGCTCACGACGAAGGTCCACGAGATCCGCCTCGAGGTCGTGCGGCGCCAGGAGGCCGTCAAGAACGTCGTCGACGCGCTCGTCGCGCGCGTCGAGGCGCGCGACGTCGCCCGGCGCGCCGAGGCCCGCGTGGCGGCCGCGCGCCTGCGGCTCGCGCGCGCGGCCGCGCTCCACCTGTCGTCCGAGGTCGGCGCGGCCGCGCGCGGCCTCGTCGACGCCGTCGAGCGGCGCGTGCTCTACGGCGAGGCCCTCGGGCGGTCGGCCTGCGAGGCCTGCCTGCGGGCCGCGGTGGCCGCGGTGGAGACGCGCGTCGTGCGGGAGGCCGCCGCGGACGCCGCGGCGCGCGACGGCGCGCGCGCGGCCGCGGACCGCCTCGTCGCGGCCGTCGAGGCGCGGAGCCTCGCGGCGACGCTCGACGAGACCGCGGCGGAGCGCGACGCCGCGCGGCGCAAGGCCCGGGACGGCGAGTCCGCGCGATTGGTGCGCCTGGCCGCGGACCGCGACGCGGCCGCGCGGCGCGCCGAGGACCTCGAGCGCGCGCTCGCCGAGTCGCGGCGCGCGCTCGACGACAGCCGCACGCTCGTCGCGTCCTACGAGCGCGTCGCGAAGATCACCGAGGCCGCCGCGGAGCGCGAGGCCAAGGCGAACCGGACCGTCGTCGAGGCCCTGGAGCGCGAGAACCGGCGCGTCCACGAGGCCTGGGGCGACGCGCGCGCCGTCGCCGCGGCCGCGCCGCCGGCCCGGGCCGCCGGCGCGCCGCCGGCGCTGGCCCTGCCGCCGCGGCCGGCGACGGACGTCGAGGCGACGCAGACGACGGCGCGGAGCGAGCCGGCGCCGGCGCGGGACACGCGCGAGGAGCAGGCGCAGACGGACCTGCACCTCGACGCGGTCTTCGAATCGCACCGGTCGTCGATGACGGCGGCGGAGGAGGCCATCGAGGCCGCGGAGCACGCGGAGCGCGCGACGCGGCGCGAGGCCGACGAGGCCCAGGCGCGCGTCCTGGCGGCCGAGGCCGAGGCGGCCCGCGCGCTCCGCGACGCGACGGAGGCGCGCGCGGACCGCGAGGCCGCGCTCGACGACGTCAGCCTCGCGACGCAGCGCGCGGCCGAGGCCGAGGCCGCGCGCGACGCCGCGCGGGCCGACGCCGCGGACGCCGCGGCGCGCGAGCGCGACGCGCTCGCGGCGCGGGACGCGGCCGCGCGCGACGCGGCGGACGCGGCGCGCTACGCCGAGGCGGCGCACGAGGACGGCGAGCTCGCGCGGGCCGACGCGCTGCGCGCGCGGGAGGCGTCCGACGCGCGGGCCGCCCAGGCCGAGGCCGCGGCGCGCGACGCGCGGGACCTCGCGGCGCACGCGGTCCGCGACTTCGGCGCGGCGGCGCGCGCGGCCGAGGCCGCGGGCGCCGAGCGCCGCGCGGCGGCCGCGGCGCTCCTCAGATCCGCGGACGCCGAGGCCGCGGCGGGCGCCGCCGCCGCGGCCGCGCTGCGCCTCCGCGACGCCGCGGACGCCGCGGGCGCCGCGGAGCGCGCGCGCGCCGCGGACGCCGCGCGCGCCGTCGCCGACGCGCTCTCCGAGGCGAACGCGGAGCTCGCGCGCCACCGGGGCGCGCGCGGCGGACGCGGAGCGGCGCCTCGCCGCGAGCGCCGAGGCCTGGGCCGTCGAGAAGGCGGACGCGGCCGCGGCGCGGCGCGCCGAGGCCGAGGCCTGGCGGGCCGCGCGCGACGCCGACGTCGCGACGGCGCGCGCGGCCGCGCGCCTCGCGGACGAGCGCGCGGACGCGGCGGTCGAGGACCTCCGGGCGTCGCGCGACGCCGCGGACCGCGACCGCGAGTCCGTGGCCAAGCTCGCGCGGGAGCGGTCCGACAGCGACCGGCGCGCGGCGGCCCTCGAGGACGAGCTCCGGGCGACGCGCGACGTCCTCTCAACGGCGCTGAGGCACCTCCCGCCCGCGGACCGCGACTGGGCCGCGACGCTCGCCGCGAAGCACGGCCTCGACGACGGCCGCTTCGCCGCGCGGGGGCGGCCCCCGAGCCGCGCGCCGCCGGCGAAGCCCCCCGCGCTCCGCGACGTCGACGCCATCGTCGAGGACGCGCTCCGCGGCTCGCGGTCCGACCTCTTCGCGAACCGCGGCGGCGCGGGCGGCGGCGGCGTCGTGCTGCTCCAGGCGCCGCGCCACCGGGGGCCCCTCTCGAGCCAGTAACACAATTAGAACACACGAGCGGAGAACACAATTAGAACACACGAGCGGGGCCGGGCGAGTCTCCTAGGAGACGACGCAGGCGCCGGCCCAGGGGAGATCGTTGCGGAGCTTGCCGCCGACCTCGTCGTCCCCGTGCCTCGACGCGCACCTGAGACACATACACGTCGTGGCGGTCCCTCGCGAGGGACGGGACGCGGCGCGCGCGACATGCCGCTGCAGTCGCTGCCGCCGCAGTCGCTTTGCGTCGATCCGGGGCGCGTCCGCGCGGCGCCGGCGCCGCAACAGTCGACCATCGGGATCGCGGCGGCGATGGGCGCCTGCAGCAGGGCGAAGTCCCGCCGCTCGGCCTGGGTCAGTTCGCCGAGCGCCGGCTCGCCCGTGGCGTTCGCGACGTCGCGCACCATTTTTTCGACGTCGCCGATCGTCGGTTCGACGTCGTCGTCGATGAGCAGCATGTCGCGGCGCCAGACCTCCTTGCCGTCGATGTCGACGCGGAAGAAGTAGGGCGTCCCCGACACGCGCGAGCAGACCTCGACGCTCGAGGGCGCGTAGCGCATGCGCAGGCGCAGCGTCAGCCACTGCGCCTTGGCGCTCATGAGGCACGGCGGCGAGTGGGCGTACCTGGTCGTGTTTTCGTGCGCTTTTGTTTCGTTCGCTGTGCGACGCGGGTGTGTCGACGTGATCGTGACCAGCATGGCGCAGATGGTCGTGGCTCCCCGAATCGCTTGATTGAGGGGCACTTTCTGCCGCGTTGAAGTGGACTGCGCTGGGCCTCGATGCTCTGAGGGCAGGGGCCACGACGCGCGCGCGCGGGCGGGAGTCTCGGCGTGCTATGGCGGCGCAGCGGGACCCCCACGAACTCCTCGTGGAGGTGCGCGTCCTTGCCGAAAGGCTCCAGATCGCGCAGGCCGCCCTCGAGGCCGAGCGCGAGGAGAGTCGAGTGATGGAATTTCGAATTGACAGGATCGCTGGGGCTATGGCGGCGCGGCGGAATCTCGAAGGGCTCACCGGGGAACAGCGCCAGGGACACGCAGGACGCCGCCGGCGCAGAGTGCTTCGTGTCCTCGCGCAGCGCTTAGAAGAACGTCGCAGAAACGTCGACGGCTTTTTACACGGTAGCAACCATGTGTTCGGCATCGTGGAGCGAGGTGATGTGCGTCGTCTGCGAGAGGCCATTGCGCGCGGTGCGGATGTCAACTACAAAGGACCGATGCTGATGACTCCACTGATGTGCGCCTGTTGCGACGTCGCTAGCGCCAATCAACGCGAGATCGTTTCGATGCTGATCAAGGCAGGGGCCGTCGTCGATAGCCAAGACAAAGGCGGGCAGACTGCGCTCGAACACGCCTGCGAATTTGCTAACCGCGGATGCGTTTTCGCGTTGCTCCGCGCCGGCGCGACGCTCAAGCATGCAAATCCTGCTATCCTCGACGGCAGGCTGCAAGACATCAAGGAGTGCGGCGGCTGGCAGCGCCACGTCGAGCTCCACCGCGGCCGCGCGCTGCGCATCGTCTCCGCCTGCGTCGGCGACGCGCTCCCCGACGACGTCAAGGGCCACGTCGTCGACTTCTGGGTCCCGTCCGGTGGAAACTAGCAAAACTTAAGAAGATGCCGCCGCCTTCGCAAAGACGGCCACGAGGGCCCGCGTGGCGCCGCGGCCCTCGCGTCCGGCCTCGTCGAGCGCGGCGGCGACGGCGTCGGCGAGGTCCGGCCGCGTCGCCGCGCAGACGGCCCGCGCCGCCGCCGCGACGTCGCCGGGCGCGAGCGCGTGGAGCGCGAGGACCGCGGCCGCGCGGTCCCGGCCGAGGAGCGGCGGCTCCCCCGCGAGCGCGGGCGCGAGCGCGCGCTCGACGAGGCGCGGGCCGTGGGCCGCGAAGGCCGCGGCGAGCGCGGGCCGCAGGCGCGCGCGCCGCGCCGCGGCGAAGTCGTCGCCGGGCTCGTCCGGGTCGCGCCACGCGTCCTCGGGCGCCATCGTCTCCGCCCCGCGCTCCGCGAGGGCGCCGAGGCCCGCGACGAAGTCGCAGGCGGCGACGGCGACGCGGAGCGCCTCGCGGTGCGCGCCGAGCCCCGCCGCGGCGGCGCCCGCGAGCGCGACGAGCGCGGGCTCGAGGCAGAGGGGGCACGCGGCGACGGCCCGGGCGCCCAAGACGAGGAGCGCCTCGGCGGCCTCGTCGTCGGCGTCGGGCGCGGCGAGGGCCGCGGCGACGACGGCGGGCAGCGCGCCGGCGACGCGGTCGAAGAGCGGCGCCGCGTCCGGCTCCCGCGGCGGCTCGGGCAGCCGCGACCGCTCCGCGCGCGCGCCCCAGCGCTCGACGACGTCGGCGACGAGGCGCAGGGCCGGCGCGTCGCAGCGCGGCGACGCCGCGACGAGGTCCAGGGCCGCGGCGACGACGGACGGGCTCGACGCGGCCGCGAGCGCCGCGACGACGGCCTCGAGCGGCGCGGCGTCGTCGCCGGGCGCGCGCGCGCGCCAGGCCGCCGCGAGGCCCCGGTCGAGCGCGGCCGCGGCGACGGCGGCCTCGGCGGGCCGCGCGCAGTGGCGCGCGGCCTCGCGCGCGACCGCGGCGACGCGCGCGGCGTCCGCCGGCGCGCGCCAGTCGACGGCGGGCCCCGCGGCGAGCGCGGCCGCGCGCGCGGCGCGGCCCGCGTCGTCGACGCCGTCGCGCTTCGCCAGGGCCGCGGCGCCTAAACCCCGGAAGAGGGCGTCGACGGCGGCCGCGGCGAGGCGCCGCGTCGGGCTACCCGCGAGCTCGGCGGCGCGCGCGTCGACGACCGCGGATATTTCGGCGCCCCGGGGCCCCCGGAGCGCCGCGGGCGCGCTGGCGCGGCAGAGCAGGGTCCGCGCCGCGCGGCAGGCGTGGCCCGGCGCGTAGCCGCGGCGCAGCGATAGCGCGAGGCACCGGAGCGCGCCGTCGAGCGCGTCCGGGTCGCCGCAGAGCCAGCGCGCGACCGCGCCGGCGAGCGTCGCCGCCGCCGCGGCGACGCGCCACGCTCTGGGCCCCGCGTGGGCCGCGAGCGCCGCGGCGCAGGCCGCCAGGAGCGACCGGAGCGCGCCGGCGGTGGCGGCGTCGTCCTTGGCGGCCGGAGCGACCGCGGGGCCCGCGAAGGCCGCCGCGCGCGCGCAGGCCTCGAGCACGTCGGGCTCCGCCGGGCCCAGGGCCGCCGCCGCGGCGGCGACGGCGGCGACGTAGGCCGGCGCGCCGAGCGCGTCCGCGGACGCGCGGAGCGCGTCGCCTAAAAACGCGTCGCGGAGCCGGCGGAACGCGCCGAAGTCCGGCGGCTCGTCCCACGCGCCCGCGCCGCCGGGCAGCGGCGCCAAATCGTCGCCGTGGAGCTCCGGCGCCGCGTCGAAGTCGTCGCCGTCGGCGCCTTCCGCGACATCCGCGCAGCCGCCGCGGGGCCACGCGCAGCGCGCGACGAGCGCCGACGCGAGCGCCGCCGCGGCCGCGTGGAGCCGCGGCCGCCGCTCCGCGACGCGCTTCGCGCCGCCGCCGCAGGTCAGCAGCACGACCCAGGCGCCGAGAGCCGCCTCGGCGACGGCCGCGTCGCGGGACGCGCAGGACCGCGCGACGGCGTCCAGCAATCCGTCGAACGGCGGCCGGTCCGCGCGGCCGCAGTCCACCGCGGCGGTCCGCGCGACGGCCGCGGCGACGCGCGCCACGGCGCGGCGACGGGGCACATCATCCGCGGTCGCGACGCAGCCGGCGGCGGCGAGGACGTCGAGGGCCTCCGCGTCGCCCGGTTTCGCGCCGCCGTGGTTCGCGCACGCCTCCGCGAACTCCGCGGCCGCGTCCGCGTCGCCCCTCGCGAGCGCGTCGGCGCAGCAGCGCGGCAGCGCGCATCGGAGCCGCGCCACGGGGCAGGCGCCGGCGCCGGCGCCCGCGCCGCTCCGGAGGCACGCGCCCGTCTCGAGCCAGCGCGCGGCCGCGGCGAGCGCGGCGCCCGGCTCCCGTTCCGCGCGCGACGCGCAGGCGTCGAGGGCCCGCGCCGCGAGGGCGACGGTCGCCGCGTCCGGCGGCTCGTGTCGCGGGCACTCCGTGGCCAGCGCCCGCCAGAGCGCGAGGTCCGCGCCCGCGGCCGCGGCGAGATCCGCGGCTTTGCCCGACCCGTGCGCGGCCGCGGCGACGGCGCGCGCGAGTTGCGCCGCCGCGCCGGGCGCGGCGCGCGGCGCGAGCGCGAGCAAGGGCGGCCACGCGGCGTCCGGCAGGGCGCCGCGCTGGCCCGCGCGCAGCAGCACGGAGGCGACGAAGAGCTGGACGTCGCCGAAGTTGTTGTGGACGGCGTCGCCGAAGAGTTGGAGGAGTTGTGCGACGGGCAGCGCGCCGATCCGTTCGAGGACGTGCGGGTCGCCGCGCAGCGCCAAGTGCGTTTGTTGGAGAAGCGACGACTCCATAGGCTAGCGAGGCGACTCCATTGCGCAGCTCGATATTCAACCCTCCCTTCAAGTGAGTCAAGCTGCTGTTCTTTACGGACGTCCTCCCGGGTCATGTGCCGTAGCCGTTCGGGCCGTCGTACTGGCCGATGTCGTTGAAGTCCTCCGGCTTGATGCCGAGGCGCTCGGCGCGGTCGATCTCCCAGGGCATGAGGCCGAGCTCGTGGCCGCGCCGCCGCTCCTGGAGCTTCTTGCTCTCCTCCATCTTCTCCTGCCAGGTCTTGCGATTGGGCTCCTTGAGCTTGTTGCTCGAGATCTTGTGCTTGCGCGCCAGGGCCGCCTCGCGCTCCTCCTTGGTGACCTCCGGCTCGGGCTCGGGCGGCGCGCGCCGCTTCACCTCGGCCTCGAGGACCTCGAGGATCGCCTCGCACTCGTACCTGCGCCGGCCGCGTCGGCGCGGAAGCGAAGAGAGAGCGACGCCGGGTGCGCGCTCGCGGGCGTCGTCGAGGGGCGAGTCGCCCTCGCCGTTCTTGTGCTCCGGGTCCGCGCCTTTTTCGATTAACTTCTTCACGAGGTCGACGTCGTCGTGGAAGACGGCGAAGTGGAGCAGCGACGAGCCTACGGAGCGACGCGGTTTCACGCGAAGGGACGCGCGCGTCGCGCACCGTGCCAGTCCGTCTTGTCGACCATCATCGACTTGTTCTCGACCTCCTTGTCGTCGAAGCGCGGCTCGTCGAGCCACTTGCTCACGGTGGCGATGAAGGTCTGCTCGTCCCGGCAGGCCTCCATGCACTGCTTGAAGGCGTCGTCGGGCGTCATCTTCTCCTCGCCCTTCTTCTTCATGGGCCGCGCGCGCCGCACGAGCCGCCGCCGCGGCTTCTCGCTCGGCGGGTGCTGGTAGGCCGGGTAGGCCGACTTCTCCGGGGGCACGGCGTCGCCCCACTGGTGGCCCCGCATCTCGTGCTTCTCCCAGTTCCGGTCCCGGAAGTTCGACATGGTGCTGCGGGCGCAGACGCCGGCCACCACCAGAAGTCGTCTCAAGCACGAAGGGCAGCGTAGGGGCAGCGTCGTTGTAGCCGACAACAGTGCCGCGGGTTGCATCGCTTCGCGTTCGGCGCTTGCCGTCCCGCGCTTCGAGCAATGGAGCGCACGACGCTCGTGACGCTGCCCGACGCCATCTTGGTGCACGTGCTCTCGTTCACGACGGCGCGCGAAGCCGTGCGGGCCGCCGGCGCCGCGCGCGCCTGCTTCGAGGCCGTGCGGTCGCCGGCGCTCTGGAGCGCCTACGCGCGCGCGGTCTACCACCGCATCTGCTGGTACTTCTTCGACAACGACGACGACACCGACGACTACCCGTACGAACCGCCCGCGCGCGACGCGAGCGGCCGCCTGTTCCTCGAGGCGCTCCGCGCGATGCCCGAGTTCGTCGAGGGCGCGCTCAACGCGCGGCTCTGGGCCTTCGCGCCGCGGCGCTGGCCGTGCTCGATCCGGAAGAAGGAGGTGTTCGCGGACGCCGCGCCGACGTACGAGCAACTCGCCGCGGGGCTCTACGTCGCGCGGTACCCCCGGTACCCCCGTCGCCACGAGGACTTTTGCGTCAAGGGCAACGCGCCCTTCGACATCTACGGCAAGCCGGACTGGTTCGCCGACCGCCGCTGGTGGGCGTCGGAGGACGCCGGCGACGTCGAGGACCCGTGCGCCAAGGGCGACTGCGACCTGCCCGTGCGGCGCCTCGTCTGCCCGTCGCCGCGCGGCGGCTGGCGGAGCGCGACGGGCGCCTACTTCGAGGTCGCGATCCGGCGGGAGGAGCCCATCGACTACTCGCAGAGTTCGGGCAGCGTCCCGTCGCTCCGGCGCCCGCCGCCCCCGCCCGCGGGGCGCTCGGACCCCTGCGTCGCCATCGGCCTGTGCACGGACAAGTTCCACGGAGAAGGGAAGCAGCCGGGCTGGACGCGGAGCAGCTACGGCTACCACGGCGACGACGGCAAAGTCTACCACGGCGGCGGCGAGTCCGGGCAGGATTTCGGCTTCCCGACGTTCGGCGCGGGCGACGTCGTCGGCTGCGGCCAGTGCCGCACGTTCTCCGGCGGCTCCGCCGTCTATTTCACGTTGAACGGCCGCTGCCTCGGCATCTCCTTCGGATTTCGGTCGAGCCGGAACCAGAAGCTGCTCTTCCCCGTCGTCGGCATGGACGACCCGAGCCTCGCGTGCGAGGTCAACTTCGGCTTCTCCCGGGACTTCGTCTTCCAGGGCTGCGCCGCCATGGAGCGCTTCGGCCTCGATTTTCACGACGTCGCGGACCTCCACCGCTACGCCCGCGCGCCGCCGCCGGGCGTGAACCCGCCCCCGGGCGTGAACCCGGCGCCGGAGTAACCAGCCCATCGGTCTTTACGCGGCGCCTATCGTTTCTTCTTGAAGAGGCCGCCGACGTCCTTCTCGAGCTCCTTCTCGACGTTCGTCGCGTCCTTGACGAGCTCCTTCTCGGCGGCGACGACGTCGCGCTCGATGGCGGCCTCGACGCGGAGCACGTCCCGCGCCGCCTCGGCCTCGAAGCCCTCGACGAGCTTCTCGAGCTTGAGCGCGGCCTTCTCCGCGCCCTGGGCGTCCTTGGCGATCGTCGACACGGCCGCGCGGCGCACCTGCGTCGCCTCCTCCTGGAGCGCCTGCTCGCCGACGAGCAGCACCTTGGACGCGTACTTCTCGCGGAGCAGGAGCCGCTCCGACGCGGACTCGGCGGAGCACGAGTTGTCGGGCACGCGGAACGCGGCGAAGTCGATGCCCGCCTTCTTGCAGGCCTCGGCGCAGCGCTCGTTGACGGCCTTGGACGCGTAGGGCGTGCGCGTGTAGAGCACGGCGCCGCCGTAGCCGTCCCAGGCGTCGTTGCGGCCCCGGTAGTAGACGAGGACGAACGCGTCCTTCGAGTCCTTGTCGCCCTTGCCGCCGTCGTAGTCGAGGACGTACCAGTCGTCCTGGTAGTGGAGGTACTCGTTGTCGTGGTTGTAGAGGATGCCCGGCTGCTTCTCGTCCTCGACGAAGCGCTGGATCGTGTCCTTGGTGAAGAACTCGCCGTCGGGCTCGGCGATGCGCCAGTTGAGCTTGCCGTAGAGGGTCTTGGGCGTCGGCGCCGTGAAGAAGTGGACCTGGCAGTCGAAGGTGTCGAAGACGGGGTTCAGGCCCGCGGAGATGTACCAGCGGCCGTCGAAGACTTGCGTGTTGAACGCCTTGACGTACGACTCCTGCGGCGGCACGGGCCACGCGCCGTCGTCGCCGCGCTGGGGCACGCACTTCTTCTGGCTCACGGCGCAGGCGTTGAACTCGCCGACGACGTCGTTCTCGAAGAGGTCGCCGCAGCGGATCTGGCACTCGCTCTCGTCCGCGCGGCCCGTGCACGTGTTGATGCAGACGAGGTTCGCCGCGCACTTGGGGCTCGTGAGGCACTTGGCGAGCTTGCCCGTGCACTGCGTGACGACGCACTTGCCCACGGCCGCCGTGTCCTGGATGACGGCGTTCGCCGGGAGCGCCGTCGCGAAGCTCGCGGCGAGCGCGGCGCCGCCGGCGGCGAGCTGCAGCGCCTTGAGCGGGTGGGCCGGCTGCGCCGTCGTCGGCGTGTGTGTTTTTGCGTGCCGCGGCGCCAGGGCGGCGGCGAGCGGCAGGAGGACCAGGAGCGCTGCGCGCCGCATCGTCGGCTGCTGCGAGCTCGAGTTGCGCGCGCTCATCGTCACCTTGAAGGTCTGACTGCGCTTGCCGCACGCTCCGCTCGTTCGTCGCCAGAGGCTCGCCAGCGCCTCGCTCGAAACGCGCCGCGCACTTCGCCGCGCTCCGAGGGGGTTGACCGCCGGTATGCCTGGTAGTATGCGCCCGCTATGCGGGCTTTATGCGGGCTTTATGCGGGCTTTATGCGGGCTTTATGCGGGTGGTATGCGGGTGGTATGCGGGTGGTATGCTGGTGGTATGCTGGTGGTATGCGGGTGGTATGCGTCTGCTATGCCGGTGGTATGCGGCTGCTATGCCGGTGGTATGCGGCTGCTATGCCGGTGGTATGCGGCTGCTATGCTGGTGGTATGCGGCTGCTACGCTGGTGGTATGCTGGTGGGCTGCTATGCTGGTCTTATGCGCCTGCTATGCTGGTGGTATGCGGCTGCTATGCTGGTCTTATGCGGCTGCTATGCTGGTGGTATGCGCCTGCTATGCGCCTGCTATGCGTCTGCTATGCGCCTGCTATGCGCCTGCTATGCGTCTGCTATGCGCCCGCTATGCGTCTGCTATGCGGCTGCTATGCGGCTGCTATGCTGGTGTATGCCGTGGCTGGTGTATGCCTGGTGGTCGGCCCCCTCTGGCCGCGCTGCGGCGTCGGCGGCACCGCAAGTGGCACCGCCGCTGCCCGCATCCCCTGCTCACCCCCATCCCGACTCTCGCGCCGCCAAAACAGCAAGAGCAGTCTACACACGGAGGCTTTTTTACGTTCGGAGCGAGTGCGCCGCTGTTCACAGCAGGCTGTCGACGGAGGGGAGGATGGAGGAGATCGTCTCGGAGAGGCCCGCGAACGCCTCCGCGCCGATGAGGCTCTCGCCGGCGAAGGGGAGGAGGATGGCCAGGTCGCCGACGGCCCCGGCGCCGACGGCGAGGATCAGCAGGCCGATGCCGAAGATCGCGACGCCGGCCTTCAGGTCCAGCGCCGCCTCGTTGCGCCAGCCCTCGTAGAGGAAGTTGAACTGGACCGTGAAGAAGACGGGGAGGATGGGCTGGAGCAGGCGCGTGACGATGCCCGCGTAGTTGAAGTTCTCGAAGCGCACGGGCCCGTCGTCCGTGACGATCTTCGCCGGCGTGTCGAAGCCGCGGATGATGATGTCCGACGCGAAGCGGGAGAGCCCCTGCACGGACGCGGAGCGCACGAGGCGCCGGTTGCGGTAGGTCTTGAGCGCCTCGCCGGCGTAGGACCGCTTGCGCAGCCCCCGGAGCTCCTGGTCGAGGACGAACGCGTCCTCGATGGCCTGGCAGCCGCCCTGGCCGAGGTTCGGCATCATCGCGTGGACCGCGTCGCCCAGCAGGCCCACGGGCCCGTCGCTCCAGGGCTTGATGGACGACGGCGGGCGGTCGTAGAGGTCGCGCTGCTCGATCTCGTCCTCCTTCGTCGCGTCGAGGATGCGGTGCACGTCCGGGCTCCAGCCCTCGAACGTCTTCTTGAGGAACGGCACCGTGCCGTCGGGCTTCGCCTCCGTCTCCGCGGACCCGGGCGCGCGCGCGAGGAAGGCGTAGTACTGGTAGCGCCCGTTGCCGATGTCCGTGATGACGAAGTACTGGTTCGGCCCGATGTAGACCTTGTAGCCGACCTCGCCGTTGTCGGGCGACGCGTAGTTGAGCTCGCCGGCGAAGACGGTGTAGCCGCTGTAGGACACGCCAGAGCCCTCGCCGCGGGCGGGCTCGTCGCGCATGGCCGCGCGCACGTTGGACCAGATGCCGTCCGCGCCGACGAGGACGTCGGCCTCGATGACGCGGCCGTCCTCCATCGCGACGTTGACGCCGCCGGCCGCCGTCTTCTCGTAGCCGGCGACGCCGACGCCGTTGGCGACGACGCCGTCCGTCAGGCCGCCGAGGAGGATCTCCTGGAGGTCCGGGCGCTCGATGACGCCCGTGTACGGCATGGACCGCGCCGCGGCCGGCGACGCCAGATCGAACTTCGCGTACCACTCGTCGCGGATGCCGTCCTTGATGCCGTTCGTCAGATTGCCCGTCCAGGTGAACTTGTGCTCGATCTGGTCGTAGATGTCGTCGTCCATCTCCCGGAAGAGCTGCATCGCGTTCGACGCCAGCTGGATGGGACCGCCGAAGCGCTTGAACGCGGACGTCTTCTCGACGAGCGTCACGTCGACGTGTTCGCAGTCGTCGAGCGCGTTCGCGAGCGTGAGGCCGCCGACGCCGGCGCCGGCGATGACGACGCGCAGCGGATTCTCCTTGCTGACACGGTCGGGGACGGCGGTAGGCGCGTCCGCGACCGCGGCGGCCTTCGTCGGCGTTTTGAGCGGTGCCGCGCGGCGCGCGGGCGCGACGAGGGCCGACGCGGACGCCGCGAGCGCGATAACGAGGGCCTGCATCGTGGTCGCGCGGCGGTCACGAAGCTGCGTGATGCGGCGGACAACTTGATGACGCCTTTGATGGAGGTCGATTTTATGAGGTGGCCGAAGCGTGCAGGCGAGATCTTGCTGTGTCGGACTTGCAGACACATTGCTTGGCCGGCGCGCGCCCGTACGCCCGCGTCCCTCGAAGGCTCGCGGCGACTTCCGCGGCGAAGGCACTTGCGAAGGGCCCGCGGCCGTTCACGCCAGTGACACTAGGCTTTGTGCGACGCCTCTCTGCGCACGCACCTGCGAACAGCCAGGACGAACAACACGAGCGCTTGCCATCAGCCTTATCACACCCTACATCTCCTTCAGGCTCGGCCCGTGGTTGCGCAGCTTCTTGGACGAGCTCGGCTCCTTGTAGGAGACGAGCTTCCGGCCGCGCTGGGGCCGGTCCGTGTTCTGCCGCTCCCTCACCACCGGTTCCGGGGACGGCGCCTTGCGCTTCTTCGGCGGCTCGCGCTTGAACGACGGCGGCGCGGCGACGCGGACGACCACCGGCGCCGCCGCCGCGGACGACGGCGACGGCGACACGCGGGGCGCGAGGACCGCCGGCGCCGCCGCCGCGGCCCCGCCGCCGCGCGTGCCGTGCTGGGGCAGGAAGCGCTTCTGCTGCTCGAGCAGCGTCAACAACTTCCGCGGATTCGACGCGAGGTCCGCGTCGACGGCCGCGCGGCAGCGCTTCGCCAGCGCCCCGAGGTCGACGGCGCCGTCGCCGTCGATGAGCGCCGCGATGGCGTCGGCCCAGAGCTCGCGGCGCCAGCCGCGGGGCGACCGCGACGCGACGGCCTCGCGGTCGATCGCCGCGCCCGCGGCGAGCCGCGGCGCGCGCGCGCCCGTCGCGAGCTCGTGGAGGATGGCGCCGAGGGCGTAGTGGTCGATCTCCCGGCGCCAGGAGGCGCCCTTGCGCGCCGGGGGCCAGCAGTACTGCTCGACCTGCGCCGGCGAGCCCGACGCGCTCTCGAAGCGCTGGCCGTCGGCGAAGGCGCGCAGATCCACGGCGAGCGAGTAGTCGATGAGCGTGACGCCGTAGCCCGCGGCGGCCAGGGCCGCGCAGGCCTTGGGTTTTTTGCCGGAGAATTGGCAGTCGTCCGGAGAACCGAAGCGGAGGCAGACGTTGTCGGGCTTGACGTCCGCGTGGAGGAAGTCGGCGCCGTGGAGCTGGTCCAGGGCCTCGAGCATGCCCGCGGCGTAGAAGAGGGCCACGGGCTCGGGGAAGCGCGCGCGCGCGGGCCCGTGGGCCTTGGCGAGCACGGAGAGCGTCGCGTCCGCGCGCCGCATCGCGAGCGCGGACGCGTCCGCGTAGCGGAAGAAGGTCGTCGGCTCGGCCAAGCGGCCCACGGCGGTCCCCGGCGGCGACGACCCGCGGCCCGCGACGGCGGCGAGCACGCCGACCTCGCGCTCGACGCCGAAGTCGCGGTGCTCCCGGAAGCAGATCTTCAACGCGACGCGGCGCGCGTCGCCCTCGAGGCTCACGTCGAAGACGGCGCCGAAGGCGCCGTGGCCCAGGGGCCGGTGCACGGTCCAGGGCGACCCGCCCGCGGCGGGGCGGTCCTCGAAGGACACGCGCTCGGGCCGCGCGCCGGTGGCCTTCTGCTTCCGAAGTCCGAACGGCGCGCGGCCGGGCGACGCGACGTAGGTCGCCCCGAGGCTCGTGACCTCGGCCTCGCTCACGGGCCGCGGGGGCGGCAGGGTCGCGTAGGGGTCGACCGCGCCGTCCCCGGACCGCTCGGACCGCTTCGCGGGCGTGAAGCGCGCGGGCGGCGACCGGATGCGCAGCGTCTTCGCCGGCGGCGTCGGCGCCGCGGTCGGGGTCGTGGGCGTGTGCGAGAGCGTCGGCAGGAGCCCCTCGAGCCGGGAGATCTCGACCTGGTTCTTCTCGATCTCGGCCTGGTTGCGGACCTTGCGGCGGCCGAGCCGCTGGTTTGCGGCGCGGAGCTCGCCGAGGCGTTGCTCGGTCTTCGACCGGTCGCACCGGAGCATGATCCACGTGGACAGGCTCAGGTGGCGGCGCGCCGGCGGCCACAGGAGCCCGAGCGCGAAGGTCGACGCCACCGCAGAGCAGTTTCGCGCGCGACTCTCGCCGACGTCGCCGATCGAGGGCGCGGGGCTGAGCGGGGCGGCGGCGGCCGGCGGTGGCGACGTGAGCGGAGGCGAGGCGGGGTGCGGGGGCGTCGGCGACGACGCTGGCGGCGGAAGACTGGAATTGAAAGCGCCGGTGGCGTCGCTTGAGGCGCGCTCGTGTTGGCGCCTCCCGTGTGATGAACCTCGCAGAGCAGTTCAAAATCGACCTTCTCGGAGATTGGATTCTCGTTGAACTTTTATCTCGCCGGGGGTCGAACGTCCTCGCCGCTTTCCTCCGCCTCCCGGACCCAGCCGAGGAAGACGAGGGGCAGGAGGGACGACAGCGCGCAGGTCACGACGAGGGGCGCGAGGTTCGAGAAGTCGCCCTCGGTGACGCCCATCTTGTCCGTGAGGACCGCGCCGACTTCCGTCGACACGAGGCCGCCCGCGTTGAAGATGGACATGAGCGCCGCGAAGAGCGCGCCCTCGATGCCCGGCGGGCAGATCTTCGCCGCGAGAACCAACAGCGGCAGGAAGCCGACCTCGCCGAGCACGGACTGGACGACGTCGTCGCCGAGCGAGAAGACGCGGTCGTCGAGCCCCCAGCCGCGGTTCGCGTGGCTGATGAGCGCGAGGGGCGCGAGGCCCAGGAGCGACGACACCAGGGTCGTCCATAGAATGACCGTCGACAGCGCCGCCTCCTTGTAGCACGCGTTGTAGAGGCCCACGCCCGCGAGCCCGGCGACGGACCCGACCGCGGACGCCTTGCCCAGAAAGTCCGGGTCGAAGCCCAGGCCGCCGGCGTCCACGGCCGCCGTGGAGAAGTAGAAGAAGGCCGTGCCGCAGTTCGGCGTCGCCTGCCAGAGGAAGAGGAACGCCGCGGGCCGGAGGATCGCCGGCGAGAGCAGCGCGTCTTTCAGGGCGACGAGCGTCGCCAGACCTTCGTCCCAGAAGCTCTCCTTGGACTCCATGGGCTCCTCGTCGATGCCGAGCGCCGCCACGCAGAGCAAGAGCGGCAGGAACGCCGTCGCGCCGAAGCAGCCCCGCGCGCCCAGCGCCTCCAAGGCCGCGCCCGACGCCAACGACGCGAGGATCGCGCCGACGTACCTACTGCTCCACGCGACGGACTGGAGGCTCGCCGCCTCCGCCTCGTCCCGCGCCTTCTCGACGACGAGCGAGTCGACGACGACGTCGCTCAGCGCCACGGCGCCGGAGGCGACGACGTTCGCGGCGACGAGCGCCTCGGCGGTCGAGCTCGCGACCGTCGCCATCGCCGCGAAGGACGCCGCGCCCACGAGCCCGCTGAGCGCGACGTAGCTCTTGCGCCGAAACCCCAGGAGCGGCGTCGAGTCGCTCACGAGGCCGTAGAGCGGCTTGACGACCCACGGCGCCGTCGCGAGACCCGTCAGCGCCGCGAGGTCGCCGGGCGACAGGTGCAGCTCGTCCTTGAGGTAGAAGTTGAGCGCCAGGCGCGACAGGCCCAAAGCGCCCTGCAAGAAGTAGCAGACGACGATGACCCAGGTCCCCGAGTCGCGCCAGAACCCGTCGTCGGTGGGCTCGTCGGACGTGTCGAGCGGCGCCGCCGGCAGGAAGGTCGTGCGGAGCGGCGGGATGTTTTGGGGGTGCAGCGATGCGCGGCGCGCCGGCGCAGTACTGCGCTTCGCTGGTATCACGAAGGCCTGCGTAGCCGCGAGCAGGCAGCACCACGCGAGCGCGCGCGTGGCCACCATCGTCATGTGGCTGATGCTGTGGCAAGAGATGGGCGACGCTTGAGCTGAGTGGCCTCCCCGCGCCGAGCAGGCACCGCGCGCCCCCGCGTCCCGCGCGACATCGAAGAGAACGCGACTATCGAAGCGGGCGGCGGCCTCCTCGGAGCCGTGCCGCCGTTCCGTCAATATGGACGCAAGAGCCGCCAAAATGGGGCGCGCATATGGGTGTGAGGCGTTCGGCTCCTTCTCCACCGGCGACCTCCTAATTATTGCGCGCACACGCAGGTCCATGGACGACGACGACATCTACGGCGGCCTCGACGCCGCGGCGTCGTCCGCGGAGACCGCGGGCCTCCGGGAGCAGCTCGCCGCCGCCGAGGCCGAGCGCGACGCGCTGCGCGCCGACGCCGGCGCGGCGACGGCCGAGTCCGCGCGCCTGCGCGAGGCCAACGAGACCCTCGAGCGCAACATCTCGGTGCTCTTCAACACGGCCAAGGCCGAGATCGCGCGCAAGGACCGCGAGATCGAGCGGCTCGAGGCCGCGCGGGACCGGCGATGACGCCGGTCGTCGCGCTTTCTTGTTGTGTTAATGTGTGGTAGTTACTCTGCATGGTACTCTTCGACGAATTACTACACCCCACAACACACCTACCCCTCGGGGCGCCGCGGCCGGCGGCGGACGGCGTCGAGCATCTCCCGGTCGAAGGACGCGCGGAAGGCGATCTTCTCCGCCATCTTCGTCGGCTCGCGCACCGTGAGCATGTCGGCCATCTTCGTCTGCTCCGGGTAAGCGCCCGGGGGCAGGCTCGGCAGCAGCCGCCGCGACGACGTCGGCGTCGGCGGGCAGCTCCGGATCTTCTTGGGCACGCGCAGCAGGGGCCGCAGGGGCCGCGACCGCTTCGCCTTGGCCGGCGCGTAGGGGTCCGCGTCGCCCGCGCGCTTGAGCTCGCGCTCCGTCGCGCGCTCGACGTACCACTTCTCCTCGGACGCCTCGCGCGCGCGCCGGTCGGCCTGGTCCAGGCGCCGGCCGGCGTTGCCGATGCGCGTGTCGAAGTTCGGCAGGGACGCGCGCGGCCTCCGGATGAGCTCGCGCAGCGGCGGCACGGGCGCGTTGACTTTGTCGAGCCGCGCCAGCACGTTCGCGCGCGCCCGGGGCTCCCGCTTCGGGAGGCCGTCGTCCCAGCGGCCGCGGCGGTTGAGGGGCACGCGCGGCATGCGCATCTCGAGATCCAGCGAGTCGTCCGTCGGCGGCGACGCCATCAGCGACGTGTCAACCCTTCAGAATGCACACATCACCACCGCGTTGCATGTAACAGTAAGATTTATGAATGTTCAACAAAACCTCTCAGTGCGAGTTTTTACCTCGGCTCCGCCCAGGTGCTCGGCTGCTCGAGGTCCGTGGCGACGTGGACGGGCTCGTCGCGCCGCAGGCAGCGGCAGCGGCAGCAGGGCGCGCGCGCGGCCGCGCTGATGGACGCGACGTAGGCGCGCCGCTTCTCCTGGCGCCCGTCGCTGTCGTCGTCGTTGGCGATGCGCTCGCGGTGCTTGTCGAGGTAGTGGGCGACGTCGCGGTAGTTGAGGCAGTGGACCTTCTCGTGCGTGAAGACGAGCCACCAGAAGACGACCCAGGCGCCGACGGGGATCGCGCACATGAGCCACATGAGCCAGGCGCCGCGGGCGACGTAGACGTAGTTGTCCTCCTCGTCGATCGTGTACGCGCCCGTGAAGGACCCCGTCTCGACGAGCACGACGTGCGGCGTCGGCGACGTCCGCGTCCACGCGTCGTCGTCGTAGGACGACGCGTTGACGGTCGCGTAGGGGCGGTCGTAGAGCTGCTGCACGGGCGAGTCCGTGAACCAGGCGCAGTTCAGCGCCGCCGCGGCGCCCGCGTGCTCCTCCTGGAGCTTCTTGGGCTGCGTGAGCGTGTAGATGCTCCCCGAGTCGCTGTCCCAGAACTGCGCGTAGTCGCAGGGCCGGAACGGGAGGCTCGTCATGAACCAGTAGCCCCAATCGAAGGCCAAACCCATCAGGATGCCCATGTAGTTGACCCACTTGCCGCTGACGTAGATCGGCGGCACGAGGCGCCGGACCCACGCGCAGCAGTGCTCGAACTTGAGGCTCTCGATGTCGAGCGCGGAGATCTTGATCTCGCCCCCGGAAAAGTCGGGGAAGTCCCAGTCCTGCATGACGATCAGGATGTTCAGCGCGGCGACGCAGCAGCCCACGAAGTGGCGCGCGAATTCGTCGTTGGCCTCCGCGGACCAGAACCGCGACTTGCCGACGCTCTCGTTGATCTTCGTGTCGCCGGAGAGCACCTTTTCGACGTGCACGTAATCCGCGACCATCATGGGCACGCCGATGCCCCAGAAGACGACCAGCGCCGCCCGCGTCAGGAGCAGCCGCCGCTTCACGAACCACGCGGAAAAGCGCGCGATCTTCCCCGGCCGCTCGGCCGCGCCGTAGGCCTCGTAACCCACGCCCTGCTTCTGGTGGATGGCCTGGGCCATCTGGTCGACGACCGTGACCATGTTCCACGTGTCCGAAACGAACGTGAAGAGGCCCGCGAGGACGAGGTTGAAGAACGCGTACGTCCACGTGTGCATGCCGGAGCCGGCCTTGTGCTTTTCCGCGCCCGCCGCCGCGAGGGCGCCGTTGTAGACCTTGAGGCCGAAGAAGTAGGTCAGGCACGTGATCACGAACACGAGGAAGAGCGCGCCGTCCTGGTCCGCGAGCGGCTCGCGGTCCTCGTCGTGGCCGTCGTCGTAGCCGAAGAGCACGAGCTTCCACCGGTCCCGCAGGTGGCGCTGGGTCCGGAGGCCGAGGAACACGCCGAGAAAGGTCAGCGCGACCATGACGGCGAGCCGCAGCGCGAGGAACGGCGCGTCGTCGGGCTCGAGCCAGCCTGCGTGGAGCTCAAATCTTCAACCCGACTCCAATGTGAGCATATTCGAAAGGTTCGACGCAAGTTCGAGAACTTGATGAGAGCAATCGATTCGTCCAAAAATCAGCCGAATCGACGTCGATTTGGCCGAGCTAGAGAAATTCGAAAGTTTGGTCGGGACGTCCCAGCTCGCCGGTTGATTTCCACACAGGAGCCAGCCGTGGTAGATGTCGCCGATCATCGTCCCGTAGGACTCGCCGTTGCTGTACGTCGCCGGGTCGCCGTAGTAGACGTAGAGGTTGAGCAGCCAGACGAGCGCCGCGACGGCGACGCGGGCCGCCGGGTGCTTGACGACGTACCAGACGTCGCTCGTGAGCGGCGACGCGGCCTTGAGGTTTTCCCGGAGCATCTTGTGGTAGGCGCGGCTCGCGGACCCGGCGGAGTCGCGGCCGCGCTGGACGACGCCCTCGACGCCGGCCTGGAGGCCCTGCGTCGCCTTGGCCAGGCCCCGGCCCGCCGCGCGCGCCGCGTCGGCCGCGGCCGCGCCCGCGCGGCCCCGGAGCGAGTCCTTCTTCGCCGGCTCCATGGGCGCCGGGGCGTCGTCGGGCGGCACGCGGCCGTAGGTGTGGGCCTGCGTCGGCTCCTCGGCGGCGTTCGGGTCCGCGACGTAGCCGCCGAACGCCGGCGCGTCACCGGCGCCGCGCGCCGAGTCGCGGAGCGAGTCGCGGAGCTCGGGCTCGACGTTGCTCGCGGACGCGCGCGAGTACTGCGAGCTGCTCCGCCGCTGCGGCTCGGTCGGGTCCCAGGTCTCGGCCTGCGACGGCGGGCAGGCGGGCTGCGCCGGCGACGGCGGCAGCGACCGCAGCAGCGGGCTCTCGGTGGTCTCCCAGGTCTCGCTCTGCACCGGCGGCGCCGGGCCCACGGGCGCCGTGCCGGCCTTGCCCCAGCTGCCCCGCGGCGACGGGAACCCTATGGTGACTTCGAGGCGCGCAGCGGTTCTATCGCACAGTGCAAGCCCGCGCTTTCAAACCATTGAGGTTGACAGGGCACTTTAGAGAAACTGTCCACAGCATCCTGTGTGGCAGCCAGACGCTGCCCCCGGCTTGGAGAACACCGCGGCCAACAAGCTCGCGCAGCCGGGCGCGACCGAGGAGGCGGGTCCGCCCGACGAGACGCCATGGCGCCCTCCGCGAAGCTGAGCCCCGGCGAGGAGAAGGACTTCCAGCGCGACACGACGAAGATCAGCGACCTCGTGCTCCTCGACGAGATCTCGAGCAAGGGCATCACGTCCGAGCTCAGCGCGCGCTACCGCCGCGGCGAGATGTACACGTGCATCGGCCCCGTGCTCATCGCCGTGAATCCCTACAAGCTCCTCGAGAAGCAGGGGTCCATCTACCGCGACGGCGTCGCGCGGTTCTACTACGACAAGACGCCGCTCGAGGTCACGCCGCACGTCTACAGCGTCGCGGCGGAGGCGCTCAAGGGCATGCGGTCCAAGCGCCAGAACCAGTGCGTGTTGGTGTCCGGCGAGTCGGGCGCGGGCAAGACGGAGACGGCGAAGCAGCTCATGCAGTTCGTCGCGATCATCTCCGGCGGCGGCGCGACGCTCGAGGCGACGAAGCAGCAGCTGCTGGACAGCAACCCCGTGCTCGAGGCCTTCGGGAACGCCCAGACCGTGCGCAACGACAACTCGAGCCGCTTCGGCAAGTACATGGAGCTGAGCTTCGACTTCAAGGGCGACGTCGAGGGCGGCACGGTGTCCAACTACCTGCTGGAGAAGTCGCGCATCGTCGGCCACGGCGCCGGCGAGCGCGGGTTCCACATCTTCCACATGCTGACGTTGGGCGCCGACGCCAAGCTCCGCGAGGCCCTGTCGGGCCTCGGCGCGCCGCCGGCCTACGCGTTCCTCATGAACGAGGACAAGCGCGTCCCCAAGGTCGACGACGCGAAGGAGTTCGAGCTCTGGAAGGCCGCGACGACGAGCGTGCTGGCGGGCATCGGCTACGACGCCGAGGACGAGCGGGAGGTGTTGAGCCTCGTCGCCTTCGTGCTCGCGCTGGGCGAGCTCGAGTTCGAGGACCACGGCGACGACCGCGCGGCGACGGCCAAGGACCCGTCGAAGCTCGAGCGCGCCGCCACGCTCGCGGGCCTGACCGGGGGCGCCCTCGGCACGGCGCTGACGTCGCGGACGCTGAGCAAGCGCGGCGGCCGGTCGTCCGTGCAGATGTCGACGCTCGACGCAGGGCAGGAAAAGGGTGATTCCACGTCGCTTCAATGTGAGTGTTTCGCGCACGCGCGTTCTAGAAAAAGCATCCACGCTTCGAGAGCGCTCCGAGAGATGATCGCTCGTCCAAAAATCAGCCGAAACGAGTGGAAAGCGGCCGAGAAAGGAGCCTTTGAAATTGAGAATTTCGCACCCTTTTCCTGCCCAGGCTCGACGCGGCCGAGGCGCGCCTCACGACGCTCACGCTCGCGAAGGAGACGTACAAGCGCCTCTTCGACTGGGTCGTGAGACAGATCAACCAGGCCATCCTGCCGGCGCACGCGGCGACGTCCATCGGCATCCTCGACATCTTCGGCTTCGAGATCTTCGACGCGAACGGCTTCGAGCAGTTCTGCATCAACTACGTCAACGAGAAGCTCCAGCAGTACTTCATCGAGCTCACGCTCAAGGCGGAGCAGGAGGAGTACGCCGCCGAGGGCGTGCCCTGGCAGGACATCGAGTACTTCGACAACAAGGTCGTCTGCGACCTCATCGAGGCGAAGAAGCCGACGCTCGGCGTTTTGGCGCTTCTGGACGAGGCCGGCGCGTTCAAGGGCGCGGACACGGCCAAGCTCATGACCAAGTTCGACCAGCAGCTCAAGGGCAAGTTCGGCGGCCACTTCCACCCGTCGACGAACCTGAACCTGCGGACGACGTTCACGATCAAGCACTACGCGGGCGACGTCGACTACAAGGCCGACGACTTCCTCGACAAGAACGCGGACAGCATGTTCAACGACCTCATCGACACGATGAACTCGAGCGGCGCGGCCCTGCCCAAGGCGCTCTTCGAGGACGGCCGCACGGCCGAGGAGCGCGCGAAGCGGCCGCCGTCCGTGTCCGTGCAGTTCAAGGGCCAGGTCAACGAGCTCATGGCCGCGCTCCACGCGTGCAACCCCAACTACATCCGCTGCATCAAGCCCAACGACGAGAAGAAGCCCGGCCTAGCGGTGGAGGACCGCATCGACCACCAGGTGACGTACCTGGGCCTCGTCGAGAACGTCCGCGTCTGTGTGGAATTCAACCACTGGTTTGGGTGGTCCTGACCAAACTTCAGAATTCTCTAGCTCGGTCAAATCGAAGTCGATTCGGCTGATTTTTGGATGAATCGATTGCTCTCGTCGAGTTCTCGAAGCACAGCCGAAGAGCTTGCGTCGAAACTGTCGCATATGCGCACATTGAAGTCGGGTTGAAGATTTGAATTCCACACAGGTCCGCGTGCGCCGCGCGGGCTTCGCGTTCCGCATGGAGTACGGCGCCTTCGCGGAGCGCTTCAAGATGACGTCCGCGGCGACGTGGCCCGTCGTCCCCGGCGACGCCCGGGCCGCGTCCGTCGCCATCGTCTCCGCCGTGGACCCCGCGCCGCGGCTCAAGCACGTCGCGGGCGCCGCGCCGCCGCCGCTCGAGGAGACGACGGGCTACGTGCTCGGCAAGACGAAGATCTTCATCAAGGAGCCGCGGGCCATCTTCGCGCTCGAGGGCCGGCGCAACGCGTGCCTCGCGCGCGTCGTGTCCCACTTCCTCGCCGGCCCCGCGCGCATGAAGAGGGCGAAGAACTACCTCGCGTTCTGCAAGGCCAAGGCCACGCGGCTCGCGGCCCGGGCGCGCGCGCGCCTCGCCGTCAAGGCCAAGGAGAAGGCCTACGCGGCGAACCAGCTCATGCAGTCGCAGGCGCGGTCCTACCTCGACTACAAGGTCGTCAAGGGCATGAAGAAGCAGTTCCGGGGCAAGCCCCCGCGCTACTGGGCGAACAAGATCGCGCGCGTCGCGCGGGGCTACGCGACGCGCGGCCTCCTGGACAAGGCCCTCGTGGACAAGTGCAAGGCCGCGATGCGGCGCGTCCGCGACCACGCGTACGCGCGGGTGTTGCAGCCCATGGTCCGGTCCTTCGTCGCCTGCAAGCGCCTCGCGGCGCGGGAGCGGTCGGACTTCGACGCGACGAAGGCGCTGCTGGACTCCGAGGCGGGCATCCCCGTCGTGCGCCACGTCAAGGGGTCGCTGCTGAAGCCGAGCCACGGCGAGGACGACACGCTGAGCATCGTCGACGGCAGCCTCGCGACGAAGGCGCGGTCCATGTTCAACTCGGAGAAGCACCTCGTGCCCCTCGGGGACGTCACGGCCATCACCAAGGGCTGGGCCGGGTCGACGATCTTCCCAAAGTCCAAGGACGCGAACGCGCAGACGGACGTGCCCAAGTCGATCTTCATCCCCGCGAAGCGCGTCAAGGACGGCAAGGTCGTCCACGAGAACGAGCTGGCCGTCGTCCTGGGCACGAAGAAGCTCGCCGACTCCGTCTTCCGCACGCTCTACATCGTCAAGCACGGCGCGGCCGTCGTGTCCTGGAGGATGGTCCACGCGCGGCCGTCCAAGATCAAGCGCGTCGGCGACACATTCGTCGTCGAGCCCGCGGCCTGGTAGGCGCGCGGAGCGACCAGGCGGGGCGCGACCGTCGCTCCGCGCTTTCGCCGCGTCGAGCCGACCCCGAGACCCCCCGTTTTAAAACATTACCGCGTAGGGTCGTCGGCGGCGAGCGCGCGCGCGGCGCCGTGGAGCAGCGCCGCGACGGGCGACGCGTCCTCGCCGCGCGCGAGGCGGTCCGTCGCGGCTCGCAGCGCCGCGGCGCGCGCGCGGAGCCGGTCCGCCTCGCCGCGGTCGCCCGCGGCGAGGGCCGCGTCGCGCTTCGCCCTGAAGTCGAGGAGCGGCGCGGCGCAGCGGAACGCGGCGAGCGCGTCCTCCGCGTCGCGCGCGGCGTCGACCTCGCCGAGCAGCGACCCGAAGTGGGTCGCGACCTGGCCCTGGGCCTCGACGGCGAGCGCCGCCGCCGGCCGGTCGTCCGCGGCGGTCGAGGACCCGGGCCCGCGCGCGAGGCGCTCGAGCGCGCGCGCGAAGCGCTCGAGCCGCGCCGCGGACCGCAGGAACGTCGCCAAATTCTCGCGCACGACGCCGCGCACCTTGCGCTCCTGCGTGCCCAAGCGCGCCTTGAGCGTCGCCCAGCCCGCCTCGAGCTGCGCGAACGACGCCGCGCCGTGCGCGCCGTTGAGGTACGCGACCGCGTCAAAGTCCTTGGCGTGCGCGAGCGCCGCGTGTCCCGCGCCGCGCCGCGGCGACGCGGGCTCGGCGTTCAGGCCCAGCGGGTCCGCCTCGCCGCCGCCGGCCTCGGCGCCGAGCGCGAGCGCCGCGTCGTCGTCGTCCGCGCCGCCGCACCAGCCGTCGCCGCCGTCGAGCGCCGCCGCCTCGGCCCAGGTCACGGGATGCGGCGCGAAGGAGAAGCGCTCCTCGTCCGTCTCCGCCTCCTTGGCCTCCGCGGCGCGGGCCGCGAGCTTGGCGCGCGCGCGCTCCTCGGCGACGCGCCGCGACAGGGCCCGCGACGCCTCCTCCTGGAGCTCGACGTCCTCCTCCGGCTCCTGGATCTCGACCTTGGGCTTCTTCACCGCCTTCTTCGCCTTCTTCACCCACGCGTTGGACTTGGGGCGGGGCATGGTGCTCGTCGAGAACTCAGCACATCGGCCCTATAAATGCGACATGTTGAGCTGCAACAATCGCAGAATTACCACAGTCAAGCCGTGGCCAGCCCCAGCCAGTGCGACAAAGTCCTCTTCGACGTCGTCGCTGGCCGCGGCGCGCCGTCGGACGCAACAGGAAACGATCCTCGGGCAGCCGCAACGCCACCGCAAGAACCAGCCACCGAGACCACCATGGCCTCGACGAGCGCGGACCCGCTGGTCTACGAGGCGCCGGCCTGGCTCAAGGAGCTCGACGGCGGGAAGAGCGGCATCAACCGCGAGGACATCAAGGTGCGCACGCTCAGCGAGACCTACGTCGTCGTCGAGGGCGACGCGGGCGTCGCCGACATCTTCCCGGCGCTCGAGGCGCCGGGCCCCGCGACGGACGGCGACGAGCTCGCCGACGACGCCGGCGGCCTCTGGAGCGCGATCATGGCCCCGGACGCGCCCGACGCCGCCGCGCCGGCGCCCGCGCAGGAGGTCGTCTACGCCGACGGCGGCGCGGGCTCCTGGCAGTGGTACGTCGTCATCGGCAAGGCCGGCGCGACGATCCGGCGGGGCGCGAACCTGAACACGCCGCTCGTCGACGAGCTCCGGCGCGGCACCAAGGTCGCGGTGCTCGACACGCCCAAGTCCTACGCCGAGGACACGACGAAGGGCTCCGTGCGCTGCTACCTCCGCAAGCCGCTCCAGGGCTGGTGCTCGCTGAAGCTGCTGGCCGAGTGCGACGCGCCGAAGGACGCGGCCGACGCGCGCGCGCTCGTGGCCATCGCGGACGTCACGGACGCGTCGGTCGACACGGCCGCGCGCCAGAAGGCCCAGGAGGCCCAGGCCCTGGAGCGCGCGAAGAAGCTCAAGGCCGACTTCCTCAGCGTGCGCGCCGCGCCGTCGCCCGACGGAGCGGTCGTGGGCACCGTGCGCCGGGCGCGCGGCAAGGTCACGGTCGTCGAGTTCGCGCCCGCGGGGCTCCACGTCGGCGACTCCAACGAGGCGTTGGACGCGCGGGCCGCGAACTGGGCGCGCATCTCCGCGCCCTGCGAGGGCTGGGTGCCCCTCGCGGCGCTCGAGGCGGACAACGTCTGCGCGCGGCGCTACCGCTTGAACGACCCGGAGAAGATGAAGAAGCCCCCGAACATCGTGCCGGACCAGCTGAACGGCGACGGCACGTGCCGCCGCAACCCGATCCGGTGCGCGTGCCTCCACGACGCGGGCACGCACGCGGAGGCGTTCTCCGCGCGGGACATGGGCGGCATCGCGGCGTACATGCGGCGCCACCACCAGATGACCCTCGTCTTCGCCGAGGGCGACGTGCGCGTCTTCGACGGCCAGTACGTGCTGCGGGGCGACCGCTACGTCATCGACGAGGACGCGCTCGACGGCCTCGAGCCGCCGCCGCGCGACGGCGTCGCGCCGAACTGCGTCGGCCAGGCCTGGCTCGCGCACCGCCTGATCACGGACGCGGACGACGACGACGAGGCGGTGATCTCGCGGCCGGCGCCGGACGCCGCGGGGCCCGCGGGGCCCGACGACGTCGACGACGACGCGACGGAGGGCGCGCCGGACGCGACGGAGCGTGCGGCGGCCGGGGACGGCGCGGCGGCCGGCGCGGCGGTCGGCGACGCGGCGCCGGCCGCCGGGGCCGCCGGCGGGGCCCCGGCGCCGCCGCCGCCGACGAAGCTCCGCTACGAGTACCGGGGCGTCGCCGAGGGTCTGTGCACCCTCATCCATTTTCTGAGCACGGACGGCGTCAAGTGGCGCGAGCGCGCGCTCAACGGCTGCCGGTTCTGCGTCGCGCACGGCCAGGCCGCGGACCTCATGACCATCTTCTGGGCCATGTGCGGGTCGGGCCACATGCACGACGCGCTCAAGGGCTGCGGCGACGAGGGGTCGGGCTTCCCGCGGTCCATGCGCGACCGGAGCCACTACGTCATGCCCTACAGCGTCTGGTTCATGCCCATCGCGGCGTGCCTCGTCGGCGGCTCCGAGTTCGGGTGGGCGGACCAGCTCGACGCCATGGGCCAGGCCATCGCCATCGAGCTCCGGCGCCTGCTCAAGAAGGCGCCGCCGGAGGCGTCGCCGGCGGACCTGGGCTACAAGCTCAAGTACGGCGCGGACCGCCACGGCAAGGTCCAGACGCTCTTCTCCCGGAGCCGCCTCGAGTTCCCGTCCCTCCACGTCATCGGCAAGCACGACGTCCACCGCGCCTCCGCCGAGCGCCTCTACTGCGCCTACTCCGACGGCAGCCGCCGCGTCATGTACTACGACGGCAAGACGGAGATGCCCGAGGAGGAGTTCTACGGCGCGGAGGTCTGCCGCTTCGTCGCGCGCGCCATGATGGAGGACGCGGGCACGACCTACGACCACGGGCCCCCGTCCTACTGATCTAATTTTGGATACAGGGTAATTAGAAATGCCGCGCGCCACCTTCAGACGATCTCCGCGCCGCGGCCCTTGCCGAGGGTCGTGGGCGACGACGCGGCTCGTCGCTCGACGACGCTGTCGGACCAGGCGGCCGGCGGCGTCTTGGGGATCAACGTCTGCGTCGCGTCCAGGAGGTCGTCGAAGTTGACCGCGTCGTCCTCGTTGAAGTGGAACATGTGCGTGATCGACAGGTACGCGCGCCACGTGAGGTAGATGCTGTAGGACAGGATCAGCGTCGACGCCGCCGCGGCCTCGGGCGCCATCAGGATCCAGGACCCGAAGACGGCCGTCACGAGGAGCGCCATCATGCCCACGCCGAAGAGGCTGAACACGTTGCGCCGCAGCTGGTACATGCCGTCGACGGCCCGGACCATCGAGCCGTCGGGCCCGCGCATGGCCAGGCCCGTGCCCCACACCGACAGGAACGTCGTGTTCGCGACGCACAGAATGTTCGCCGACAGGGAGACGATGGACGAGATGTAGTAGAGGAACTTGACCACGCGGTTCGTGTCCGCCGGGCAGTCGAACTCGATGAACGCCGTCACCGTGAACCCGGCGAGCACCGCCGCCTGCGTCCCGACGGCGTTGAAGTTCCCGTGGTGCAGGTTGAACTCCTTCTCCTTGAGCGCGATGCTGTTCTGCCGGATGGACGACTGGAGCAGGAGCTTGTCCGCCGCGAGCATGGTGCCTCTTTTCCTCGGTCGCGCGCGTTGTCGGGGAGAGGACGGGAGAGCTGCGCGACGGCGCGGCAGGGGAGAAGACGGAGAGCTGCGACGGCGCACGCGAGAGGCGGTCCCGCGGGCAGCAACGCTTCGTCGCGACCCACACAAACGACGCGTCGACCAGCAGCGACGAGGCGCCAGCGAAACATCGGCGAAACCTCCGACCTTGCACCCCACGAACGGCGCATGATGGGCGCTCGGGCAGCCCGCTTCTCGATGCTATACACCGCTTAAAAGCTCGCCATGCCGCCGCTACTACAAGTCATCGCGCCGACGCACGCGGCCATGCCGAACGCGTCCATCGAGGTCATGGTCAACTGCTTCCGCGCGCAGACGAGCGGCGCCTGGCGCCTGACGATCGTGAGCGACGGCCCGGACGCGCGCGCCGACGCCGTCGTGCGGCGCTACGCCCGCGAGGAGGCGCTGCGCTTCCTGGCGACGGACCGGGCCTACGGCGACCACGGCCACACGCCGCGCGAGGTCGGGCTGCACGCGGACGCGTCGCCGCCGCCGTGGACCGTGCTCACGGGCGTCGACAACTACTACGTGCCGCTCTACGTCGAGACGCTCGCGGCGGCGATCGCGGCGCACCCCGACGTCGGCCTCGTCTACCACGACTTCCTGCTGGACATGAAGGCGCGTCCGCCGTCGCGTCGTCGCCGCGCGCCTCGAGACCGCCGCCCCCGCCGCAGGGCGAGCAGGCCGCCGCCGCCGAGTACGACCGCGCCCTGCGCGAGTACGGCGCGGGCGCGGCGCCGCCGGACGACGCCGACGTCGTCGTCCTGCGGCCGCTGCTCGACGGCCGCGTCGAGGAGATCCGCTTCCGCCGCGACGACGACGTCGCCGCCGTCGCGCGCGACTTCGCGCGTCCGCCCGCGTCCCGGAGGCGGGCCGCCGCGCCGACGCGTGATCGTAGGTCGCGTCGGCGGGCCTCGCGTCCGGCGGCGGCTGCGACGACGCCGGCTGCGTCGCCGACCTCCTCGCGCGCGCGATGGCCGCGGAGGCGCGGAGCGCGGGGCCGTCGGCCGTCGGCGGCGGCCGGCCCCGGTCCCTGCCGCCCTACGCGGGCCACATCGACGCGACGATCGACGAGTCGGGCATGCTCGACGTCGGCGCCGTCGCCGTCCGCACGGACGTCGCGCGCGCGGTCGGCTTCGGATGGCGGCACCACGCGGCCGACTTCGCCTACGTCCAGGCCGTCCGGGCCGAGCTCGACCGGCGCGGGCTGCGCGTCCTGAAGCTCCCCCAGACGCTGTACGTGCACAATTAACTCGTCCTTGAAGGGCACCTTGATGTTGTCGACGCCAGGGAGAGAGCATGGGCTACTCGTCCTCCTCCTCCTCCTCGTCGTCGAGCGACGACGACCGGCGCGCGAAGAAGGAGCGCAAGAAGAAGGAGAAGAAGCGGCAGAAGAAGGAGAAGAAGCGCCAAAAGAAGGAGCGCAAGCGCGACAAGAAGCGCAAGCGCGAGGAGGAGGAGGCCCTCGAGGAGGCGGACCCGGCGCAGCTCGAGGCCTTCCGCGCCGCCGTGCAGGGCCCGAAGCGCTTCGAGGGGCCCGCCGCGCCGGCGCCGGCGTCCGCGCTCGACGCGTCGACGGCCGAGCAGCGCGCGGAACGGCTCGGCCTGCCCAAGGGCCTCGTGCGCACGTCCGTGCGCACGCACTCCATCTCCGACGGCGCGTCGAAGAGCCTGTTCGGCTACGGCGGGTCCGCGAACCCGGCGCAGCAGGCGCGCGTGAAGCGCGAGCGCACGGCCCAGAAGGCGCTGGCCACGGCCAAGGCGGTCCTCGCGGCGCGCGCGGGCGCGCCCGAGCCCGACGCGCCGTCCGCGGGGACCCTGAGCTCGCGCTTCGACAGCGGCGGCTTCGCGCGACGATAATGCTAGCTTTAGACGAGGCTGAACGCGGACTGGACGAGGCGGCTCACGGCGTAGTACTCCGGGCAGAGGGGCCCGTCGACGACGAGCTGCGCGTTGCCGCGGTCGTCCGCGGCCTTGCGGACGACGATGGCGCCGTCGCAGACGAGGGACCCGGCCTTGAAGACGGCCTTGACGCCCTCGGCCGCGAGCTTCTCCTTGAGCGCGGGGAGGACGACGTCCCGCGCGCTGAGCCAGAGCTTCGACGGCGCGGCCCCGGCGCCGTCGGCGTCCGCCGCCTCGAGCAGCTCGCTGTCGAGGACGAGCTTCGTCGCCTTCGCGCCGTCGTCGTCGACGAGCACGGCCGAGAAGACGCGCGACACGTCGAAGCCGTCGCCGAGGGACGTCGCCGCGGCCTGGTGCGCGTGGACGATGCGCCAGCTGAGCTCCGCGTCCGCGAGCGGCGCGCGGCCGAGCCAGGGGCCGAGGTCGACGGTCTCGCCGGGCCGGGGCGCGGCGACGAGCGCCTCGGCCCGCTCGGGGAAGAGGCGGTCGCGCGCGAACTTGGCCAGCTTCTCCGCCGCGCCGTCCCTGCCCGCCGCGACGGCGGGGCAGACGAGGACGCCCCGCGGCGCGACGCGGCTCAGGAGCGCCTTGAGGGACCGGCCGTCGCAGAGGCCCTCGAGGCCGCGGACGCGGACGACGCGGCACCGCACGTCGAGGTCCACGGGCATGCGGTCCCAGCGCGTCGTCGCGTCGTCGTCGCTCGGCGCGTCGTCGTAGGCCGCGTCGAAGACCGCGCGGCCCCGCTTCCGCGGCGCGGCCGCGGCCGCCGCGGCCTCGTCCGCGCCGTCGGCCTCCGGTGCCTCCTCCTCGACGGGGTCGTCCTCGCCGAGGAAGTTCATGCCGTCGCGCGTCTCCAACCCGAGGAGGCTCGACCGCGCCTTGACGAGCGCCGCCCTGATCGCCTCGGGCAGCGGCGCGCCGTAGTCGTCGGACGGCGCCTTTTTCGCTAAAGGCGCGAACGTCGGGTGCGCGGGCTGCGCGAAGCGCGCGAAGAGCGCGTTGGCCTTGAAGGACTCGAGCAGCTCGCGCTGCGTGCGCCGGCGCACGCGGCGGCCGCCGTCGCGGCCGTCGCCCGCGGGGCCCTCGAGGCCGACGTCGCCCGCGGCGTCGTCGTCGTCGTCGTCGAGGTCGACGGCGCCGCCGTCCTCGTCCTCGAGGAGCAGCACGCCCCGCGCCATCTCCTCGGCGCGCCGCCGCAGGTCCGCCTCGGCCCGGGCCGCCTCGAGGCGCGCCCTCTTGGCCGCGACGGCCGCGTCGAGCTCCGCGCCCGACAGGGGCACGCGCGAGCCGCGCCGCGTCGCCACGCTCCGCGCGCCGCCCTCGAGCGCCGCGGCGGCGGACGGCGCGCCGCCCCGGGGCCGCGCGGGCGCCGTGAGGCAGACGCAGCAGCGCTCGTCGGAGGCCCACGCGCGGAGGAGCGCCGCGCCCGCGCCGCACTCGAGCTCGCCGCGCGCGGCGACGACGCACTTGGGCGCGTCGCCCCTCAGGGCGTCCTCGACGGAGGCGACGACGCGCACCTCGCGCAGCGCCAGCGGGTGGCCCGAGCGGCGCTTCGACGCGCCGTCGAAGGCCTTTTGCGCGTCGCCGCACATCCACTCGATCTGCGACCGCGCGAAATCCAACACGTTCTTCGCCATGCTGTGGACGAAGACGAGGTCGTAGGCGCCGCCGAGGCGCTTCGACCGCCAGGCCTCGTCGAGGGCGAGGCAGAGCTCGAGGCCCCGCGACCCGCAGTCCGCGGGCACGAGGCAGTGGCCGCCGCGGCGCAGCGCCTCGAGCGCGGCGGCCACCAACGCGTCCTCGGCGGCGGGCCGCGAGGCGTTCGTGGTCGTCTTATCCTTGGAGGCCTCGACGTCGCGGGCGACGGCGCCGCAGTCCGTGATGAAGACCGCGGGCCGCCGCGTCTCGGCGCTCGTCGACAGCGCGGCGCCGGCGACGTGGCGCTCGTCCGCGTGGTGCGCGTCGACGCAGTAGACGATGTCGTCGGCGCCGAGGCGCACGCGCCAGTAGGCGCCGCCGACGCTGTGGCCGCAGCGGTGCGCCGTGATGACGACGCCCGCGCCCTTGCCCCGGAGCGACAGCGGCTGGTCGAACTTCAGCGGCCGCATCTTCCCGAAGGCCGCGTCGACGTCGTCGAGCGTGAACTTGGACCGCGCCGCGTCGCGGCCGAAGGACGCGCGGTAGCCGGCCCAGGCCTCGTACATGGTCACGAAGCCGAGCTTCGTCACGGGCAACGTCGCGTAGATCGGCGCGCGGAGGCCGTAGCGCGCCTTCGCCGCCGCGAGCGCGCCGAGGTGGCGCAGCTCGTGGTGCGAGATGAGCACCAGATCCACGTCCTTGGCGACGGCGCCGATGCGCTCGAAGCACGCCTCCTCGAAGCCCACGTCGCAGCCGCAGTCCAGCAATATGGTCACGTCGCCGACGACGAGCACGGACCCGTAGGCCGGCGCGCCCAGGGGCGTCCAGGAGGCGCGCATCGTTACTGTGTGGTGTTTTTGCGGCGCGTTGCGGCGCGTTGCGGCGCGCGCTCGTCGAGCGCGTCGAGCCGGGCGGCGAGCTGCACCTCGAGCTCTTTGCTCGGTCCGCAGCGGGCCGGGGGTCTTTGCGCGATGCGCGCGGCCGCGACGCGCTCGGCGCGTCGACGCAGGGCTAGGCCGCCACCCAGTCCTACCTGAACTCGAACCACAAAAAGGGCGGGTCGCACCTCTCGGACGCGGACGTCGCCGCGTGGGCGTCCGGCCGGTTCTGAGCGGTTAGTCACGGCGGTGGACTGCGCCCGCCCGGCGGCCGCCGCGGCGGAAGATGGGCGCGAAGTGGTCGTACGGGAACTCGTAGAGGCGGTGCACGAAGCGCATGTGCTTGAACTCGGCCATCTTCCAGAAGTCGTTGCCGTGCGGGCACTCGATCCTACGATGGCGCAACCTGCGCAGGTGCTGCGGGCCGGGCCGGCCGCCATCTCCACGGGCAAGACGCCGCGCCACAAGGAAGACGTCGCGCTCGTCGGCGCCGCGACGTGCATGAACCCGCACGTCATCGGCGCGCTCGGCTGGGCGGCCGTCATCGGCGTGCCGCCCAAGGGCCTCGACTACATCGCGGATGGGAAGCGACGGTCGACGGCGGCGTCGGCGCGCGGCGTCCACGGTGGCAACTTGATGGACGAGGTCCAGAAGTTCGAGGAAGCCGAGGGCGCGCCGGGCGACGAGGCGGCGCTGCAAGGTGTCGTCGACAGCGCCACGCAGGCGCTCTACGGCCGGGGTGGATCGGATGGAGGGCCACGCCGCCGCGCATCCGACACCACACCTCCCTGGGCACACGAAGCGAATCATCTTTATAGCAAACACTCGACGCGGCGCTCTGCGCGCGGCGGACGAAGGAGGGGGCGGCGCGGCGCGGCGGACCGGCGGCGGCGCGGCGCCCCGAGGGGCGCGCGCGCCTCAGAACGCGTCCGTGGACGTGACCGTGACGCCCGCGGCGGCCATCTCCGCCTCGAAGTCCGCCGCGGCCTTCTCGAAGGAGACGACGGGGCTCGTCGCGTCCTTGAGGAGCACGAGGTTGGACAGGGGCGTGCCCGCGGGCCACGCCGCGACCATGTCGCGGACGCTGTAGTTGACGCAGTGGCTCTTCGCCTGGCCGCAGCAGACGACGGCCTTGTGGGCCGCGAGCGACGCGATGAGCGGCGCGTTGAGCTTCGTCGTCGCGTCGTCGTCGAGCTCGACCTCGGCCTTGAAGCACGAGTACATCTCCGTCTTGTTGTTCATGCCCTTGAGCAGGTAGGCGACGTCCTTGTTCCGCGACCGGCTCCAGGCCGCGAGCGCCTCCTTGAGGGGCGACCGCACGGCGTGGCCCTCCGTGCCCAGGATGCAGTGCTCGGGCCAGACGACGAGCGCGAAGCGGCCGCCCGCCTCGAGCGCCGCGACGTACGACTTCGCCCAGTCGCGGAGCGCCGGGTCCCGCGCGCGCCAGGCGCCGTCCGCCAGGGCCTTGCTCCCGATGACCGTGAACGGCAGCGGCCGCGCGGCGGCGTCGTCGGGCTTCTCCCAGAAGCTCGGGTTCGCGATGTGGCGCGTCTGGTGGCTGTCGAGCGTCACCAACACCGTGTCGATCCGGTCCGCGTGCTTCTCCAGGAACGCCGCCGTGCGCTTCGTGTCGTCGTCGGCGCCGGGCACGGCCAGCGACCCGCCGTCGTGGAAGTCGTTCTGCGGGTCGATGATCACGAGGCAGACGTCTCCGCCGGCGATGCCGTCGCCGCCGACGAGCGTCGCGGCCCGGGTGGCGGCCATCGTTCGGCGCGGCGTTTTTTGCGGTTTCGAGGCTGTTTTGAGCTGCGCTGCGGGCTCGGGCGGTGCGGAGCGGTGGTTTGTGTGTTTGGGCGGCGCGGAGAGGTGCACTGCGGGCTGCCAATCGACGAGCTCAGCCGCGAAGGCGCTGGCTGAGATGCCGAACCTCTGATTCAAACAACGGTGCAAGGTCGGTTTTGCCACAGCGTTGCCTCCCCTCTCAAGACCGAAGCCGCCGCCCCCAGCGCTCGTCCCTGCCCGCGCGCGCCGACACACACGCCCCAAAACACCCATGATCGACCTCACCGGCTTGGACAGCGACGACGAGCCCGCGCCGCCCCAGCGGGCCCCGAAGCGCACCGCGGGGCAGATCGATCTGACCGCGGACAGCGACGAGGACGACGCGCCGCGCAAGGCGGCCCGGACGGCCGTGGACGTCGACTCGGACGCGGCCCTCGCCGCGGCCCTCGCGCGCGAGGAGGGCACGTTCCCGGCGCCCGCGCCGCCGCCGGCGCCCAAGGCGGCCAAGGCCGACGCGAAGCCGCCGTGGGACAAGAAGGTCGGCATGGCGCGGCTCTACGCGGAGTTCAAGGCGCTCCGCAAGTGGGAGGGGTCGCCGCGCGTCTACGACGCGACCATGGTCCACGACCGGGCGGACTGCTGGCGCTTCAAGGTCAAGGACTTCGACGACGACTGCAAGGGCGGCCGCGACCTCAACAAGGACCTCCGGGAGCTCGGCCGCAAGACGCGCCAGGACCACATCGTCATGGAGCTCACGTTCCCCTCGGACTACCCGACGCGGCCCTTCTTCCTGCGCTGCGTGTCGCCGCGCTTCAAGTGGTACACGGGCCACGTCACCGCGGGCGGCGCGATCTGCATCGAGGCGCTCACGACCGACGGATCCGCGAACCAGTGGCGGCCGACGCACTGCGTCGAGGCCATCCTCAACACGGTCTTCACGAACATGCTCCACGTCGAGCCCACCGTCGTGCGCACGGCGACGGGGCCCGGCGGCCGCGCGGGGCCGCTCCGCGTGGACCTGAAGCAGGAGTACGGCCGCAACGTGCTCCAGGAGTACTCCATGGGCGAGGCCAAGTCCGCCTTCGACCGCATGCTCGGCCACCACCGCGCGAACGGCTGGTAGCGCGCCTAAAAACTTCCACCGTCGAGGAGGCGGCGCGGCGGCGGGCTCGAGCTCTCGATCGAGATCGAGGGCCCCGCGGCGTCTTGTCGCGGCGCGCGGTCCATCGATTCGCGATCGGACTGACGTCTCCTCCGCCACCGAGCGCGCCTTTAGCCCCTACATCATGGGGGGCGGCGGGGGCGGCGGCGGCGGCGGCATCATGCCGCCCATGGGCGGCGGCGGCGGCGGCGGCATCATGCCGCCCATGGGCGGCGGCGGCGGCGGCATCATGCCGCCCATGGGCGGCGGCGGCGGCGGCGGCGGGAAGCCGCCCATGGGCGGCGGCGGCGGCGGCATCATGCCGCCCGGCGCGCCCGGCGGCGGCGGCGGCGGGAAGTTGCCCATGGGCGGCGGCGGCGGCGGCGGCATCATGCCGCCCATGGGCGGCGGCGGCGCGCCGTAGCCCTGCATGGGCGGCATGGGCGGCGGCGGCGGCGGCGGCATGCCGCCGAAGGCGCCCGGCGGCGGCGGCATCATCGACATGCCCGGCGGCGGCGCCATGGCCGCGTAGCCGCCGCCCATCGCGTCGCCGGGCCCCGTGCCGAACATCGCGTGCGGCTTCGCGCTCATGGGGTTGTTCGCGGCGAGGAGGCGCTCGGCCTGGGACCCGTGGCGCTCCGTCTTCGAGTCGCGCTTGAACGCGTAGCCCACCTGGACCTGCTTGTTGCACAAGAACTGGTTGTGCATGCACTCGATCGCGAGGTCACTCGCCTCGAACGAGTCGTAGGACACGAACCCGAAGCCCTTGGAGTTGCCCGTGTCCGGGTCGCGCATGATCTTGGGCGTCTCCGTGATCGTCCCGAAGGCGCTGAACGTGTCGTAGAGCAGCTTCTCGTCGACGTCGACGTCCAAGCCGCCGACGAAGAGGTTCGCGCCGACCTCGAGCGTCTTCTTGTCCTGGCTCGCCTTGTTCACGCGCAGGGGCTTCCCGAAGAGCTTGACCATGTTCATGACCTTGAGCGCGTAGTCCGCGTCCTCCTCGCTCCGGAACTCGACGAAGCCGTAGCCCTGGTGCGACCCCGTGACCTTGTCGCGCGGCAGGTGCACGTTCCCGATGGGGCCCGCCTGGAGCATCATCTCCCAGAGCAGCTCCTCCGTGAGCTGCTCGTCGAGGTTGCCGACGTAGCACGTCGCGTCCTGGTTCCGCTGCTCCACGGGGCCCGTCGCCATCGTCTAAAGCGGCGGCGGCGCGGCGGCGGGCGCGGCGGCGGCAACGGGGCGCCTCGTGCGAGCGGGCGCGCGCGACCGCGCTCCGCGCTCGTGCCGCGGCGGCGCGGGCGGGCGAGCGCCGGTACACACACACACGAGCGGCGGCGCGCGAGTCGACGAGGCAGCTCGCGATGAGCTCGAGCTTGACGGCGACGCCCAGGCCAGAGGAGCAGCTCTCGTTGCCCCTCGCCGTGCCGTTGCCGAGGCTGCCCCACAACACCGCGCGCCGTCCGTCGCGTCGCAGCGCCATGGCCGTTCGCGCATGCCTCGCCGCGCTCGTCGTCGCGGCCGCCCGCGGCGCCACGGAGAAGTTCTACGTCTGCAACGACGTCGGCGACGCGACCTTCGGCGGCACCTACGAGATCGGCGACGCCTTCGCCGGCAAGCCCACGTGGACCAACGAGTTCGGCAAGAGCCTGTTCGCCCACGGCGCCTGGTGGTACATGGGCGACCTCGACGCGCAGCCGCCCGTGACGAGCTACCGGGGCGTCGTCGACTGCGCCGAGGACCAGGACGAGCCGCCGACGGACTGCGTCTACCGCGCGTCGAAGGACGGCGCCCACCCCGTCCCCGCGCTCTCGGCGAAGCCCTGCCTCGGCGCGCCCGGGGAGCTCTAGGAAGCGCCGCGCTTACGCCCCTAGAAGATGAGCTTCTTGAGCTCCTTCTTGCGCTCCGGGTCCGCGAGGATGCGCTTGACGAAGGGGTCGTTGAGCTTGTGCTCGCTGTCGTTCATGGCGACCTGCTCCTTGCGCTTGCGTTCCCTGACCGTGGCCGCCTGCTCCTCGAGGAGCTTCTGGAAGTTGCGCTGCTTCTCGAAGCGCTCGCGCTCCGCGCGCGCCTCCTCGTCGTGGAGCGTCTCCGTCATCGCGCGCATGCGTTCCGCGTCGCGCGCGACCTGGCGCGCGCGCTCGTCGCGCTCGGCGCGCCGCCGGGCGATCTGGGAGTCGTTCTCGGCGCGGATCTTCGCGTTCGTGTCGCGGATCTTCTCCAGGTCGCTGAAGTGGCGCGCCTCGTCCTTGCGCGCCTGGGCCGCGAGGTAGCGCTCGACGCGGTCCTGCTCCGCCTGCTCGAGGTCCGCGGCGCGCTTGCCCGCGCCGGCCTCGTGGAGCTTCGTGAACTTGTTGATCGTCGCCTCCCGCTTCTCCGAGATCTCGCGGCGCCGCCGCTCCTCCTCGAGCCGCGCGCGCTCGGCCTCGCGCTCGACGCGCTCGGTCTCGCGCCACTCCGCGAGGCGCCGCTCCTGCTTGACGCGGCGCTCCTCCAGAATCTCCAGGCGCAGGGTCTCCTGCTTCGCCTTGTTCGTCTCCTTCTCCCGCTTCGCGCGCGCCTCCTCGGCCTTGAGGGACGCGCGCGCCGCGTCGATCTCGCGCCTCTCGGCCGCGGCGTTCCGCGCCTTCTCCTCGAGCAGCTTCTCGCGCTGGAGCCGCGCCTGCTCCCGGAACATCTCCCGGTCCGCCATGCGCTTCTCGTGCTTGAGCCGCTTCTCGCGCTCCTCCGCGGCCTTGATCCGCGCGGTCTCCTCGCGGACCGCGCGCATCCAGTCCCGCTTCTTTTCGCGCTCGTCCGCGCGCCGCGCGGCGTTGCGCTCCAGCTGGGTCTGGAGCTCCTTGTGCATGGAGACGACCTTGTCCTTCTGGGCCTGCGTGCGCCGCACCTCGTCCTCGCGGTCGAGCACGACCTCGCACGCGGCCAAGACCCGCCAGTCGACGGGCCCGACGTCGGGCGTCTTGGGCGTCTGGCTCCGCCGGCTCCGCGACGCGGAGCCCGCCGGGCCCAGGACGTCGTTGATGAGGCGCGCCTCGCGGCTCGCCGGGGCGAGCTGGCCGTAGGCCGACCCGGGCTTGCTGCTCTGCGACGGCTCGCGCGGGCCGGGGTCGAGCGTCGTCGCCGCGGCCTCGCCGGGGAAGTGCGCGCTCTTCCGCAGCGGCGTCGCCACGCGCCGCGCCATGGCCGCCGCCCGCTTCGCCCGCGCCAGCTTGTCGTCGTCGTTGGCGCGGCGCAGCGCCTCGAGCTTGAGCCGCTTCGCCTCGCTGCCGCGGAACGCCGCGGCCTTGCTCGGGCTCGGCCGCAGCTGCGGCAGGCTCCGCGACCCGAGGTTCTTCGTCGGCGCGCCGAAGGACCCCATTGGCGAACCGACGTCGGCGGCGCGGACCGGGCCTCGACGCGGCCCTTCAGAAGCCCATACGCCCGACGGCGCTAACACAATGCACCTGTTTAGAGCACGGATACGGTACGTCAACGTGCACGCCGTGGTGCCGCTTTGGTGCCCATCTCGACCGCTCGCGCGCCACAGCGGCCCGCAGCGCTTCGCGATCGCCATGCCGACGCCCGAGGAGATGGACGAGATGTTCATGCATACGGCGCAGCGCTGCGGCGGCATCGAGCCCCTCCTCGAGAGCTTCTTCGGGTTCCTGAAGCGGCGCACGGACTTTTACGTCGTGCACGACGGCAAGGAGAACACGCGCTACGAGGCGGGCTTCGGCCCCGGCAAGGCCGAGGCCATGGTCCGCAGCGCCTTCGGGAAGCACGCGCTCAAGCCCCTCAAGGGCTCCGACATCGAGCGGTCCGCGGAGGCCGCGCGGCGCGGCTGCGAGGCGTCGATCAGGGCAGGAAAAGAGAGCGAAATTCCCAACTTCAAAGGCTCCGATCTCGGCCGTTTTCCACTCGTTTCGGCTGATTTTTGGACGAGCGATCATCTCTCGGAACGGTCTCGACGCGTGGATGCTTTTTCCGGAACGCGCGCGCGCGGAACACTCAAGTTGAAGCGAACTTGAATCACCCTTTTCCTGCCCAGGCGTCGATGATCGAGCGCGCGGACCGGCGCGCGCGGAAGCCGCCGCCGCCGCCGGTGCCCGCGAAGCCCACGGCGTCCGGCGCCGACGGCCAGTTCGACGGCGTGCGCTACAACGACGAGGGGCAGCAGATCCCCGTGGGCAACGGCGGCGTCGCGGAATTCTACGCGTGGACGCAGACGCTCGCGGAGACGACCGTGACCGTCGACGCGCCGCCGGGCACGCGGTCCAAGGACGTCACATGCAAGATCACGGCGGGCCGCATCTCTCTAAGAATCGCCGGCGTCGACGACGTCCTCGAGGGCGAGCTCTACGACAAGATCAAGGACGACGACTCCATGTGGACGCTCGACCACGCCGACGACGGCCGCGCGGCCGTCGTCCTCACCTTCGAGAAGACGCGCGAGACCTGGTGGCGGAGCGTGCTCAAGGACGCGCCGAAGCGCGACACGATCGACGCGACGCAGGTCGACAGCTCGAAGAAGATCGACGAGTACGACGAGAAGACGCAGGGCGCGATCCGCAAGATCATGTTCGACCAGCGCCAGAAGCAAAAGGGCGAGAAGACCTCCGACGAGATGAAGATGGACGCGATCCTCGACGACGCGCGGAACCTGCCCGGCTCCCCGTTCATGGACCCCGCGAGCACGTTCCACAACGCGCCGAACCCGAAGCTCCAGGGGGCCTAACGTCGCTGTTAGGTGCCCAGGGGGGGGTGTGGACGTGGCGGAGCGGTCCTGGTCGGGGCGACGGCTCGGGCGCGGCCGGGATCCTACGTTCCCGGCCGCGCCGTCATCTGGTGTCGCCTCCGCCGCGGGGACCGGCCGAGGAGCGTTTCGGGCGCGCCCGCGCTGGAGAGCGGGGGCGCCGTCATCACGCACCGCCTCGGCCGGCGCTCGTCGCTCGCGCCTCGTCCGTCGCTCGCGCGAGACGGTGCGTCTCGCGCGGTTCCTAGCCTCAGCCGCCGCCGCCCGAGGAGCCGAAGCTCGTCGGCACGTCGGCGCCCGCCGAGGCGATGTGGGGCCGCGCGGGGCCGCCGGCGCCGTTGTCGTAGATGGAGTGGACGTTCGACTTCTTCGTCTTGACGAGCGTGTACGACGGGTCGAGGAGCGAGCCCCAGAACGCGCGGACCATGAGCACGAGCGTGCCGAAGGCGCCCCGCTTCTTCCGCGCCGCGAGCTTGCCCTCGAGGTCCTTGGACAGGCGCGCCTTCTTCACCTTGGGCGCCAGGGGCTTCTCCGCGAGCTCGACCTTCTTCTTCGTCTTGCTCTTCGGCGAAAGCGGCGCCTTCGCCTTCGGGGCTCAGCTGTTGCCGCCGCGCACGGCCAGCGCGCCTGTTCGTCGCGACAGGCCGCTCGCGGACGCGAGCGCCAGGAGGGCAAGCACCGATCGCATCATCGTCTGACTGCAACTCGCCAACCGAGAGGTAAATACGCGTCGTTGAAGTCGCCGCGACGCCTGCAAGCCTCATGCGAGCCCACCAGCGTCCCCCGGAAGCACACGAACAAACGAACATAAACAACAACAACAGTTTTTAGTAGGTGATCGTGATCTGGCGCTCGCGGTGCGTCTGGCGCTTGGGCAGGAGCCGGAGGGCCTGCTGCACGAGCGTCTTCTTCCGCTTCTTGCCCTCGGCGGGCTTGTCGAACATGCCCTCGGGCACGGACGAGGCGAACATGCCCGCGTTCTTCGCGGAGCGCGTCGAGACCTTGGAGCCCTGCGTGTCCTTGGAGCCCTTGGAGCCCTTGGAGCCCTTGGAGCCCTTGGAGCCGACGGACGCGTCCTCGGCCGCGGGCTTCTCCGGCGACGGCGGCGGCTTCGCCTCGGCGTCCTCGGGGATCGCCGGGTCGAGCGTGATGATCGACGACGCGGAGTCGCGGCGCTCGCGGTCCTCGGCGCCGCCGGGCTTGGCCGCGACGTTGATCGTCCGCGCTTTGAGCTGCGAGCGCTTCGCCGCGCGCCGCCGCGACGCGCGCGACTGCTTCGTCTCCGCCGCGAGCGTCGCGCCGAGGCCGTCGAGCACGGACCCGCCGTCGACGGCGCCCTCCGTGAGCTGGGACGTCTCCGACGTGAGGGACATCTCGTCGAAGGCGACGGCGCCCGCGGAGACGACGGTGCCCGCGGACGCGACGGAGCCCTCGTCGAGCGCCGCGAGCGCGTCGACCTCGGGCGCCTTGACCGTGAGTTTGCGCACGACGCGGCGGAAGGCGCGCCAGGCGAGCGTGCAGGGGCTCGTCCAGAAGCAGCAGCAGCACCACTTCCGGAGGCAGGACCGCTTGTCCGTCTTGGGCTTGCCGTACCAGAACGCGTAGGGGTCCGGGATGACCGTCTCGCCCGCGAGCATGAGCAGGGGCAGGGGCCAGGGCAGGGCGACGTCGAGCTCCAGTTCTTCGACGAGCTGCTTCAGCGACGGGTTCGTGAAGTGCTTGTTCCGCTTCACGGACGTCTCGTGGTGGAGCTCGATCTCGTAGAGGCTCAAAAAGAGCGCTAGAGACCGCGTGATCTTCATGTCCGGCTCGTGGAGCTTGACGAGCTGCGCCGCCGTGGAGAGGCGCATGCCCCGCCGCATCATGAGGAGGCAGATCACCGCGGCCGCGGAGCAGCGGCAGCCCGACGGACACGTCACGAGCACGCGGCCGCCGAGGTTCAGGGCCTCGACGGCGAACTGGAGGCCCATGGCGTACTCGACGCGCAGCACGTCCTGGCGCACGGACTCCTTGTCGTTGACGAACGCGCGGCAGTAGATGAAGTCCTCGCCGAACTGGTTCGGGTACGCGGGCTGGCATTTTAAGACGTGGGTGACGCCGAGCTCGAGGAGCCGGTCCCTGTCCTCCGTGACGCGCTCGCCGCCCATGAGCAGCTCCGTCTCGATCCAGACGACGTCCTGCTCCTTGTGGACGATGCCGAAGCCCTGGGACCGGAGCGCCATCATCGACACGAGCGTCGCCATGTCGCGGCCCCTCCGGTACGGCGTCATCTTCCGCAGCCAGCGCCGCTTCGCGAGGTCCACGGCGTTGGAGCCGCAGCGCGCGTTGATGATGGCGATCTCGCCCGCGCGCAGCAGGTCGAAGTCGGGCCGCGGGTCCGACGCCTCGGCCTGCGCCTTGCGCTGCTGCTCCAGAAGCTTCAGCCGGTCGCGCTCCATCTGCCGGTCCACCTTCTGGTCCTGCTCCTTGCACCACTCGTTCAGCGTCAACCCCTCGGACTTGGCCAGGTGCTTCGCGTAGTCGACGGTGCTCAGCTGCACGGGGCCCGGCCGCTGGAGGTCGAGGCAGACGCGCGTCTGCACCATCATCTTCCGCGTGCGCTTCTTGTTCGTGGTTTCCTGCCGTAGGAAGACCATCTTCTCCGCCTCGACGTCCAGCAGGTTCTGCGCGAAGACGAAGGGGTCCCAGCCGGGCATCTGCGCGCGAATGCTCCGGTGGTTGATCTCGTGCTTCATGAACGGGTGGCACCGGATCTTCACCTGTGCCGAATTCAAATATTCAACTCGACTTCAATGTGAGCGTACGCGACAGTTTCGACAAAATCTCTTCGGCCGTGCTTCGAGAACTCGACGAGAGCAATCGATTCGTCCAAAAATCAGCCGAATCGACTTCGATTTGACCGAGCTAGAGAATTCTCAAGTTTGGTCAGGACCACCCAAACCAGTGGTTGAATTCGGCACCGGATCTTCACCTCCTCCAGGCTCCGCTTCAGCTGGTAGCGGTGCTCGTCGTCGTCGTCCTCCTCGCGGTGGATCTCGTTGGACCACTGCATCTCCTCGCGGTTCTTTTGATCCTCGTGGTAGTTCGCGACGCCCAGATCCTCGCGGAGGCCGTCCGTCGAGCAGCCGTACTCGTAGTACGTCATGTCCTTGTTCTTCTTCGGGTTCAGCGAGTCGACGTTCCGCTCGACGTGCTTCCGCGAGTACTTGCGCTTCACCAGCAGGTTCGCCCCGGAGACCTCGCCGTCCTGGCGCATCGTGTTGTAGGCGACCATGGCCTGCATGCGCCGCATCATCGCGTCCGTGCCCACGTCGATGCGGTACGTCTCGGCGTACTTGTGCTGCTGCGACATGATCGCCTTTTTTAGTGGAGTGTGTTACAGGGCCGCCTCACGGCGGCGGCAGCCCCGAAGGCAGCGCCCCCATCGAGGAGCTCGAGCGCCAACGTGTGCATTGTGAGTGCATCACTGACCTGAGCACCAAGAGCTGATGGCGACCCAGCTGCAGCGCAACTAGACGAAGCGCATGCTATCCAGGATCATGCTGTTGGCCGCCGCGGCGCGCGCGCTGACGCGGGCGCCCGCGCTGAAACGCGCGTCGACGACGCTCTGCGCCGCCGCGCCGGCGGACGACGCCGGGCCGGAGCCCGCGAAATGGCTGCTCATCGACGGGACGAACTTGATCTACCGGAGCTTCTACGGCATGCCGTCGCTCGGCAGCGAGGACGCGCCCGTCGGCGCGACGCTCGGCGTGTCCAACGCGCTGCTCAAGGTCGCGCTGCCCTACGCGGTCCGCGGCGCGCGCATCGTCTTCTGCCTCGACCCCCGGGGCAAGGACAACTGGCGCACGGCTTTGAGCCCGGCCTACAAGGCCCAGCGCAAAAAGGCGCCCGACGCGCTCTACGCGCAGATGGCCGACAGCGCCGACGCCGCCGTCGCCTTTGGGGCCGCGGTGACGAAGGTCGACGGCCACGAGGCCGACGACGTCATCGCGACGCTCGCGGCGAAGCACGCGGCCGAGGGCGTCGACGTCTGGACGGGCGACAAGGACCTGCTGCAGCTCGCGGCCTACGACGGCGTGCGCGTGCTCGACGCCAAGGGCGCGTACGTGGACCCCGTCGCCAAGTTCGGCGTCGAGCCGGGACAGCTCGGCGACTACCTCGCGCTCGTCGGCGACAAGAGCGACAACGTCGAGGGCGTCCGCGGCGTCGGGCCCAAGGCGGCCTGCGCCCTGCTCGAGGTCTTCGGCGACCTCGAGACGATCCTCGCGGAGGCGCCCGCCGCGGACGGCGCGGTGCCGAAGCGCGCGGCCGACGCCATCGCCCGGGCCGACCCCGCCGCCGTCCGCGTCGACCGGCGGCTCGTGGGCCTCAACGAGGCCGTGCCCCTGCCGGAGCTCGCCTTCCCGCCCTTCTCCTGGCCCGCGCTCATCGACCACGCGGACCGGTTCGCCTTCGCGTCCTTCCGGAAGAAGGTCATCGCCGCGCAGCGCAAGCTCGATCCCTACTAGTAATTTACGCGGGCGGCTGGATGCGGATGTTGCGCACGACCCGGAAGATGTCGTCGAAGCGCACCGCGTCCGCCTCCGCGAAGTCGAAGAGCGCGACGATGCGGCCCTGGTTCGACACGATGGCCCAGATGCCCGCGCCGAGCACGAGCGTCATCGCGCCGGCCGCGAGCGCGTCGAAGAGGATCCACGCGCCGAAGATGCCCATGAAGAGCACGGAGAACATGCCCGCGTTGAAGAGCAGGAAGACGTCGCGCCGCATGTTGTACATGCCGTCGACGGCGGAGACCATGGCGCCGTCGGGCCCCCGCATGGCCAGCGACGTGCCGAAGACGCTGAGCAGCGTCGTCTTGCCCACGCAGAGCACGTTCGTGGACAGCGAGAAGACGA